GCAAGCATGCAAATGAATAATTAGATCAGACATCATATTTGATCCAACACAGTTTTAGAGCCTACAAAAAAATATTTGTACAGTTTTTATCTTTTCCTCAAAAGTCCTATTAAGTCAGGGTGTTTAACTACATCACAATCCACTAGGTAGTGAAACAGGGGAGGGGAGCGGGAGTAGATGGCCCATGGTGACCGGACACTGCAGAAGGAAAGAGAAAGCGGTGGGAATAAAGTCAGGCCAGGTCTGCATTTGTTTTATTGTGCAAAGTAAATGGGACTTTTGGGCACATAGATGTGAACAAATCTTAAAACATTGCCATGACGGAAATGAAATCCTATTATCAAATAAATTCCCCTTTATCCAGAACCCATGAAAATAAGAATCATGTTTATACACTCAATTATAAAGACTACATGTATCTACAAGACTCTAAAGCACCTTATGAATCAAAAAAAAATTTTTTCTGTGTTATTTACCCAGGACTTTTAGTGCTAACTGCATTTTATTATTTTCAAATAAGGTGATAGTCTTATTGAATATTTTATTGCTAGGTTAATGAGAATGTTCTAATAATCACAACATTTCATTCCTCAATCACACAGCCTAAAAGAGGAGTTAAGCCTAATACTTCTGAATGAGTACATGCCATCAAATTACCTTGGGGAATGCTCTTTTAAAAAGAAGCTCTTTTTGTTTCTATGAACCTGGGTTTTTAAATTTTGTTTGTTTGTTTTATAGATTCCACATATAAGTGAAACCATGTGGTATTTGCCTTTTTCTGACTTCATTTAGCATAATGCCTCCTGAAGGGGCATAGAGTCGATAACATTGTGACAAATTTGCATGGTGACAGATGGTTACTGGGGTTAGTGGGATGATCACAATGTGAGGTATAAAAATGCCAAGTCACTCTACTGCACACCTGACACTAACACGGCATACCAACTACACTGAAGTTTTCTTAAGAAGTTCTTTCTGGGTAGTTGGAACATCAGTGGATCTTCAGCATGGAAACTGCATCCTCTGATCTGCCCCACTGGGGTTCAGCTATAACAAAAGTAGGGCAACAGTCTTTATTCCTGGAGGGAGCCCTTCAGCTGTCCCCTTGAGAGTTCAGGACTTCCTTTATTTTCCATTTAATAGTTGTGGAGCAGATGTTCATGGAGAGCTAAGTAATTTGCTCCTGCCTGAGAAAGTCATACCAAAGAAAATCAGAGACAGACCCATCAAGATTCTCAACTTCCCACTTTGCTGCCTGGCCCCCGGGGAACAGCAGGCCTCCCCCAGCTCTGTCTCCGCTTCTCCGAAGGGTTCCAGGTGCTGGCCTGCCCTAGTCTCCCTTCGCGTCCACCCGGAACTCCACCAGCATGCAGACATTCAAAAAGTGGCATTATACGGTTAGTCTGTGGTAAAACTAAAAATTTTAATCTAACACAAATACGTTTAGGAAAAATTGTTAAGCTAAACAGAAATCTTTAGAAGTTTTACAAATAAAATTAAGCATTTAGTAGTGACAAGTGTCATTAACTTTTCTCAACTGCCTTTCAAATGGGCCCAGCAAAAAATGTCCCAGCAGTGGCTTGTACCCATTCTCAAGTTACAGGGGATTCATTATGTGAGTAGGGAATGAAAAGAAATACTGAGATAAGGGAACTGTCTTCAACACACACACACACACACACACACACACACACACACACACACACACACACACCCTCCTCCCCACCCCACCCCGCCCGTTACCATGCATGCTTTGCAAAATACCTGGATATCTTCAAGGCTTTCACTAGCTTTACTGTGGCATGTACTGAGCCTAGAGATTTCGTTTCTGGTGTCCTCATAATGAGCTAAATTGGCAGTCATTAAGTTAAGAAAAAAAGTAAGTTAACCGAGTATTTTATCTTAATGGTCAATCTATCCCTCATCAGAAAAAAATCAAAATGTTCCAGATTGCTTTTGGCAAACATAAAGACACTGTAACATAAAATATCTGTATCAATAACTTATTTGCACATGCAATTTTATATTAATAGTGATGATTATCTGGCCTTCTTCTGTCCCCCTCCAAAGCTACCCATTCAAAAACATACTGGAGAGAAAGTGGGTAACTACTAACTCAGTTGAAATTTATATAACTGGTGGGCTTTTTCTACCTATAAAATAAAAAGACATTAAACAGGAATTAATTTAGACATGAGTTATTACACAAAAGAGAAATAATCCAAATGAGCTAACCTGTATTACATGAGGTAAAGTGCTAATTTCCCAAATGAAAATGTCAGAAACTAGAGAAGATCCAGTATTTCACTAGAATGTCTCTAGATACCATAAGCAGGGTCAAGGAACCCATTAGCTCTGACTCAGCCCACCCATCAGTTGGCAAAGCTTATACTCTCTGCACTGTGGCCTTGACCTATCCCTCACTCCCTCCCTGTCCACAACTAAATTCATCTTTTGTCTAAGGGAAGCCTCTAAACTTTATACATAAGAATTGTCCTTGACAGCTAAAAAAACTAGGATACTGAGAGAGTTAACACAACAATAACATGATCCTGATTAATACACTCAGGGTTTTCAAACCTCTGGTAGAAGCATAAAGTACAAGCCTAACCCTATAGCACAGCAAAAAGGTAACTTTTTCTTCAGCGGCTTAACCCTCCCTAAAATCTTAATATTTTAATTAGATGGATATCTGACTATAAACTATATTAAATCTATGTCAAAGGCTTTTCATTCCATCTGACAATGCCAAGCATGCTGCAGAATATTTACGTGGTAAACCTGCCCGCTCCGGCAGTCCTCTCGCCTTCCCCTCCTGCTGCGACTTCGGAGGCACCGGCCCTAGCAGACGCCCCGCGAGGTTCCGCAGCGGACAGCAGGCCTCCTCCGTGTTCCCCCAGGCCTAGCCGCTTTCTTCTAGAATGCATCCCAGAATGCACACAGCTTTGAATTTTTTTTAAATATAGCTTAGGTATAAAATTTTCTGTAGGTATAAAAATTGTCACATCTCTTACTACATTCTGAAATTTTAAACTGGAAAAAAAAATTTGTATGCCCAAACTTAATGATTTGTAGTAAAACACTCTTCTTCCAACAGAGTTCAAAATCCAGGTTAATTATATGATACAGGTAATGAGTGATCTCTATCTTCTCTAGGCTTCTAATCAGTTCCAAAATATGAGTTGTGATTAAAGCTCATTCCTGCCATGGAGGAAAAAAAAGGCACAATTAATTGAAAAAAGCAAGAATGTACATTGAAATGTACTTTTGCTATAATACATTGCCAAGTTATATTCCTAAAATCACCAATACTTTGAATTTGCTTTCTCTGCACAGTTATCCTGCACTTCGCTAAGTTTAAAAAAAAAAAATCCTTCTCTACAAAGACTATGTAATAGTTTTACTAAATCCTAAATTAACTCTATTAACTTTTTCTTGGGTTACTGTTAGATAAAAATACAGAGATTAAGTGAAACTGAAAATGTTGTGTGGATTAGGTGCCTAACATTTTTTCAATGCCATCTTCCTCTGTGAACATCCCTCTTAAGTTTATAGCGTCTGTGTGAACTTCCTTCTGTTTTACTGATCTTGTTTTGAATCTGTTACATGGATTCTGTGTTGTATATGTTAATGCCAGACAGTTACCAACAGAAAATGAAGCCCTGTAGTCAACCTGTTTCCCCCGAATGAGGCTCTCCTGAACCCTTTCTTTGGATGTCTTAGCCTAGAGGAGATGCATTTTTCCTTTCAGGCAACACCTTCAGTCAAGTAGCTCTGAGGGGCTTATAAAAAGTCTTAGGGAGGACAAAACTGTCAGTCCTGTCCTTTTATTGGATTCCACTGGAGTGGAGCCCCAGGTCATCTGCTGGCCAGATATGCTGTGATGAGTAGGTGTCCTGGTTTAAAAGGCAGACTCCTGGTAACATTGTTCGACCAGCATGAAGCAACATTGGCAGCACCTCCCGGGGCCAAGTCAGATAGATGTTCAGAGATTTTTAAAGGGGTCTCCACCATGCACATGGAATTAAAAAAATATCTTCCTCAATTTCCTCAAGTGTCAATTTTTCCCTTCCTATCAGGGAGGACTCATGGGAGAGACAGTCTCCCAGAGAAAAGGGATTTGGAGCAAAGGGGCAGACGCTCCAATCAGGGCCGTGGGTCTTACCCTGACCCTTTATCAGTTTCTTCCACAAGCTTGAGTGAGTTGCTCTGGTTTTTCTCTTTAAAGCCAGGTATCTGGCCTGAGTGGAACCTGTCCATAGGAAGCACCTTTGTGAGGGCAGCATTAGGAGCAAATATAAAAGCCAAAGTATAATTCCACCCACAACACTCAGTGACCATAATGGTCTCTTTATAAGACAGTTTAGTTTTGTAAGTCTGATTACAGATCCTGGGGAACAAAAGGAATAAAACCAAAGACACTTGCCCAAAATGCAGGCTGAGAAAATCAAATGGAAAGATAGAATGAAATATAAGATGAATTTGATATAGACAAGATAGACACTTTAATGAAATTTGTGTAATTCAAAGCCTAGTAAAAAGTATCTATAGAGGATGTTAGGATTTATGGCTACCCAAATGCTTTTCATAGATACCATCTATTAAAAATATTTTAGAGCACTAAATCATGGGTGATATCTATGGGAATAAGGGAGAAAATATGACATAGTCCAGGAAGCTCTAGGCCAGACCACGTAGTGTCTTCATTTTAAATTTTCTCTGCCATTTGCTATCTCTGTGATCTTGAGTAAGTCCCTTCAGCTCTCCAAGGCTTCTTTTCCTCAGTTATAAAAACTTAAATAAGAACCATTCAACTTATAGAGCCCTTATGAGAAATAAACGCGGTAACCTGTGTGGAAAATGTGTTAACTGTGAAGAACTCGGCAAGCATTGGTTATCACCAGAGCCCAGGCCCCATGAGCAGGAACCAGTTGCTCCGACTGGAGCAGGGCTCCAAGGCAAACTGTTAAGAACCTGAGTAGGGACACTGCTCCTAATGCTCACATTTGATGTTCTCTCACAAAAGCCTCAAACTCAGGATCATTGGCATACAGTTCCAAAATTCTGATTCTTTCTTGAATTTCCTTTAAAAAAAAAGAAAGAAAGAAAGAAAAAGAGGCTGTACATTGCATTATAAAAACATATATATGTAACACAGACACAGACAACAGTGTGGGGATGGCCCAGGGAACAGGGGGTAGGGGACAGGTGGAAGTGGGCAAAGCGGGGGAAATAGGGACAGAAAGAGACTGCTTGGAGCGATGGGTACACGACGCAGTGTGCAGATGGTGTTATGACGTTTTGTTGAGTCATACACTTGAAACCAGTATGGTTTTGTGAACCAGTGTCACCTCAATAAATCCAATTAAAAATATATAAATAAATAAACACTGCTATTCACCACAAAAAATAGAAATATAAATAAATAAAGAGTTCTAATTTTTATAAGGAACTGTGCCTTTCTGGGCTATCCAGGGGAGAGGAATAGGAAGGAACAGCCTTTATAGGGAAATGGAAGGTTTGGATACTATATAAACTGCTCAGAATAACTCAGACATATTTTTAAGGAAGGGGGAAAGGAGGGAGAGGACATTTGCTAATAATGGAAATAGAAACCACTGGGTGGGGAATGAGGTGCCGCTCAGATGTATATACCCTCTGCATCCTACATCAACTGGGAGATATCATGAGGTAAGAACTAATCAGGAAATACTTGTCATCTTTTCTTGAAGCTCATGCATGTACACACACACCAGCAGCAGCAGAGTGACAACAGCAAAGCAAAGTTTCCTACCTCCCTGGAAAGCCCATTGTTCTCATACATGTGTCTGATTTCTTCCCTGCTCAGACCACCAAAGACCTCTCCTCCTGCAGCGCTGTAGAAGGGACGCGGAGGATAGGGTCCCTTATACGGCTCCATTCCCGCCTCACAGCTTTCATAGGGAGGGTTGTTCTTTACAGCATCTTCAACAGACGAGAGGCTATCAGGCTGCCTGATGGAGCCACAAAAAGAAAAGTATGATTGGTTCATGTTCCTGTTCAGATGCTCAACTACTAGGAAGACTATTTACCTGTAGCAAGATTTCTGTTGAGGGCAAAAAAAGGGGGTGAACTGATACAAATGGGAGAAGGAGCTATGAAAAATATCCAGATAAATCTCAAAAATTATTTATCAGGTATTATCATGTTATCTCCTCAACTGCCTAGCAAGGACCCTGTGAAATTGTTCCATGTCTCTTTGAAAGGATGCTCAGCATCACTGACCATCAGAGAAATGCAGATCAAAACCACCATGAGGTACCGCCTCACACTGGTCAGAATGGCCATCATAAACAGATCAACAAACAAGAGGTGCTGGCGAGGCTGTGGAGAAAAGGGAACCCTAGTCCACTGTTGGTGGGAATGCAGACTGGTGCAGCCATTGTGGAAAGCAGTGTGGAATTTCCTCAAAAAGCTGAAAATGGAACTGCCTTTTGATCCAGTGATTCCCCTGCTGGGACTATACCCTAAGAATCCCAAAACGCCAATTCAAAAGAACCTATGCACTCCAACGTTCATAGCAGCACAATTTACAATAGCCAAGTGTTAGAAGCAGCCTAAATGTCCATCAGTAGATGACTGGATCAAAAAATTACGGTACATTTACACAATGGAATACTATGCAGCAGAAAGAAAAAGAGAACTACTGAGCTTCGCGACAGCATGGATGGAACTGGAGAGCATTATGCTAAGTGAAATAAGCCAGGGGGCAAAAGACAAATAGCATATGATCTCACCTATAAGTGGAACGTAACCAACAATACAAAAATGCAAGGAAAATAAGACCAGCAACACTGAAAGGAAAAGACACTAAGAGAGACAAGAGGGAAGGAGGGAGGGGTGGGCGGGGGAAAAGGAAGGGAAGGGGAAAGTCCAGGAACATATAGCAAGGACTCATGGACAAAACCAAAGTGGGGAGGGATTGAGGGAGGGAGAGGGGGGACGGAGCAAGGGAAAGTGATGGGGGGAAGGCAGAGACAACTGTATTTGAAAAAATAAATAAAATAAAATAAATATTAAAAAAAAGAAAGAAAGAAATTGTTCCAGGTCTCATTCATCTTTATTTGCCCCACAGGGCGTGGCACTCAGTGCTGATGGGGAGCCATGCCTGCCATTAGATAGCATTCCTTTAAATGCATGTGGCACCATCATTGCCAGCTCAGACAAATCAAAAATCAATGTGTAATACACAGAGAATCTAAAAGAAATATAAATATGAGGGGACTGGGACTCAACTAAATTCAATTCAGATGTACAAATATTTATTGAGCATTGATTATGTATCTAAGACTGTTCTAAATACTAACGTTACAACAAATTCGTTGGAACCCCTGTCCAGAATGAGATTATAATCTAATGCAAAGTCAGGCTCAATAAAAAGGATAAGAACAACGATGGAAATGTGTCCTGGGTGCCTCCTTAGCAAGCCGAGGGTGAGGGAAAGGAAACTAGACCTAAACCAGCAGCTCTCAGAGACTACGGAAGCACAAAAGCAAAGTACAACCAGAGGTCATAATCATGTAACAACTCTAAAGGCCCTTAGATTGCTAGTCTAGCAAGTAGAACAGGTTATGTTTTCCCCACAGATGCAGCTACGCTTAACTAAAAGAAGACCAGATTTCATTTCCTGTCAAGTTCTTATCTAGATTTAAAACCAAATGAGTCAAAGGGTAACAAACTAACAGATCTGGTCCTCACACAAGGGTCTCACCTTTTGCCTACCCTTGCACCCCCTCCCCAACCATAAAACCAGCATTTCGGCCATACTCAACAATGCCATTCCTTCCGTGTGCCTTGGGATTCATCCCCGCCTTCCTAACTGTGCTCATGCTCAGTCCACTGGCTAGAAAGTGTCCTACCCCACCCGCAGTAAATATCTACTCTTCTGTCCAGCTAAATAACATAACGATCTTTCAAACTTCTAAGACTCTCTCCCCCAGGCAAAACTAATTCATCCCTCATCTAGGCCCCTTAGCATCTTATTCATTCTGCTGCCTGTGTGGTTTCCAAGTTGACACCTTTCGTGCCAGGGACTGTTTTCATTCAGCTTCATAGCTTTCTCCTCTCCACCCCAGGCTCCTATCCAATATTTGGCACACAGTAAGTATTGTACTAAATAAATGAATAAAAGGGACATTTTAGTCCACCAGAAAGCAGTTTTCTTTATTTACCTAAAGGGCCTCTGTCTTCCTCTCCTAGCATTCTGAGCTTGAAGAGTCCTGACGAGGAGGAAGATGACTGCAGAGGAGACGAGAAGTCCAACCGCGGAAGCAACGGTGACGCCTATCACCAAGGGCTCAGACACAAACTCCTCACAGCGCTCACCTCGGTACCACCAGTTCTCACCCACCCGGCATCTGCAATGAAAAATGACCAAGTCTAAATGTGAAATCACTCTGCGGAGAGCAATAATTGACAGCAGAAGGTTCAGTGGGACTGGGAAAGGTAAAGAAAAATGCTGACCACGTGAAGCTTCAGTAAAGAGGTAAGTATCAGGTTAAATGATCATACATTTTAAGAATGTGCTTACTGCCTGGCACAGAGGCAGGAGGCCAATGACTATAAGTAAATGATGGAATAAAAGACTAACGAGACTTAAAGGCAGTATCCGATTCAACTTCCTTAGTTATAGGTAACATAAAGCAGGCCCAGAAGAAAGTGGCTGGTGTGAGATCACACGATTAGTCAGCAACAGAGCAGGGGCTGGAACCCAGGTCCCCAGACTCCTCATGTCCTTCCCCCTTCCCGCAGAGATCCTCCACACCCCAGGCCCACGCACTGGTGCAAAAACGTCTTCAAATCCCAGGGCAGCAAGGAAATCACTCATTTTCCAAATAATATTAATTTCTCTGCATAGCAAGACTACTTTTCCCCTTAGTTTCCTAACTAAAGGTTATACTTTTTCACATAGAAGAGTCTGAATCAGTTCTACCTATGTTCTCTGTTTTCGGCATTATGCCAACATTTGACCTTTTTCACATTCACAAATTGCCCTCTTGTTTATTCTCAGCATCCTCTCCTTCTACACCATGAGACTGTGGTGTGTATGGTTGGGAGGTTGATTTGCTCGGCTTTGTTTAAGGCAGATGGGCAAGAAAGGACAGTCAGGCTACTTGCATCTGCTCATCTGTCTGCTGCTTTTTTTTTTTTTTTTTTTTTTTTTTGGTCCTCCCTTAAAAAATATGGATCTCGGGTACATAAAATAAGATATATTTGTCATAACTTCAAAGACTTTAAATATTCACTTTTCTTTATCTCTGAATACTCCATAGGACCAAGAGCAGCCCAAAGACATTAAAAACATAACCCAAATAGAACGAAACTCCTTTGTTTTCACTTTCAGTACAGCATAGTGTCGATCTTATGCAAAAACCTACTTTAGGCACCAAATGCCTCACCATTGCCTGTAAGAACCACAACAGAGACCTCCAACCACTCCAAGTACTCTCAGTAGAACACTTGGCAGTGTTTTCCTTACAGCTCCCAAAGGGCATAAAACAAAGTAACGATTTGAACTTGGTGTAAGTCAGGCCTCTTAACTGATTCAGTCTTCATATAAGAACTAGATGGCACCAATCTATTGCCTAGATATAACTTTTATAACACATATGGCTGTGATTATCCTAAAGTCATAGGTGTAGACCCTTTTGCTTCAGAGGGAGTATCTATAAACTTGTGAAGCCAAAACCCCCAACGACACCATACCTACAAATGGCCCCATGTCCAGGCATAATGTCACACTTCCCATCATTGAAGCAGAAGTCAGGCTGTAGGTCACAGAGACTCTGACAGGGCCGCTCTTCCACACTCAGGTACCCAGGGTAGCATCTGCACTCTGCTTCTCCACTCCAGGGATTGACCAAACACTCAGAAAATTCATTGCATGCCTGAAACTTGCAAGGGTTGGCCTGATCACCTTAAACACCAAACAAACCAGAAAATTATTCAAGGAAAGGCACAGGAGTTGCAGTACATGAAGGCCCACCTCTAAGGCTCCCTGCTCCAAGGTACTGCGGGACAACCCCCTTCCTGAACCATTAAAATACAGCATCACCACCAATACCACAAAAAAATTCTGACTCACCTAGGATACCCTTTCACCAGGGAGCCTGGCCCTGACAACACCTGGATTTTAGATTTCCAGCTTTCAAAAGTACGAGAGAATAAATTTCTGCTTTTGTAAGCCACCCAGTTTGTGGTCCTTTGTTACAGCAGCGTGAGGAAAGCAACCCAGGTGCTCACGGGTACGTTGCTCATATAACAAGGAGAGCACACACATGGGCTGACAGGCGGGCAGTTTGTACAGCAGGATTCCAGGGTGCGTTTCCCAAGTCTTCGTCGTCTTATTCCAGGGCACATACCATAACTTTGTACTCAGAAAATAATATAACCCTGGCCTAGCAGTGAGGGACAGGAGTGCACATAGCGAGTGCGAGGGAGGATGTTGCATGGCTCCCGCTCTTCATGGAAGTTCAAGAGTTTGTGAAAACAAGTTAGGCAAGAGACAAGTCAGTCTCGTCTCTAGCCAATCTTGAGATAAAATATTTTAATCTGAAGGCCTTTAACTAAAAATATACAGTAGTAAGAAAATTCTCTTTAAGAATTCTAAACACTGTGATCCTCCTATGGGTACAGGTGAATGTCTGAGGGAAGGAAAACAGGACCTGCAATATGAAAGAGACAAATGTTGCTCCCTTTTGCTCCAGACCAAGGAGAGATACTAAGACTGATATGTTATTCATGTGAACAAAAGACTGTAGCTTTAAAGTCCTTTTCCAGTGCTTTGCGTAGGTTAAATGTGGATGCCCGGAACAGATGACCCTCTGTTTAAATGTACCTTAATGACTTATGGGAAAATAAATGTACACCTGAAGCTAACGTTGGGATAAGAGACAGGAATTAAACTGTAGAACGAATTATGTCTAGTTTTCCATGGGCAGGCAAAGAGAGGGATTGATGGGTCCACAAAAATGCGAGTGGAGAAAATACGAAGAAGTGAAGAAAGGCGGCCAGAGTAGCTGGAGTAACATGGTCGCTGGCTTGGTCCAAAAAGCTCGTCAATAAGAAATGACATTGAGCCCTAGCTGGTGTGGCTCAGTGGACCGGGCACCAGCCTGTGACCCAAAAGGTTGCCAGTTTTATTCCCAGTGTAAGGCACACGCCTAGGTTGCAGGCCAGGTCCCCGGCAGGTCCCCAGAGCGTGTGAAATGCAACTACACATTGATGTTTCTCTCCTTCTCTTCCCCTCTCTAAAAATAAATAAATAAAATGGTTTTTTTTTTAATATTTTTTAAAAAGAAATGACTTTGAAAGGTTGCTGAAGAAGCTTAGGATACTTATGCCTAACAATATTTTAATCCATCTGGTGTGGTATGATTAAGCCTCCTCTGTCATCCTCATATCATCAGCAAATATCTGAAAGAATCAACTACTTTGTGTTAGAAGTGCTTCAGGGAAGTCAAAAATGGAATTGTGGACCTGACCAGTGTGGCTCAGTTGGTTTGGCATCATCCTGTAAGACAAAGGATCACCAGTTTGATTCCCAGTCAGGGCGCATGCTTGGGTTGTGGGTTTGGTCCCCAGTCAGGGTGCGATTGAGAGGCAACCAATCAATGCTTCTCTCTCACATCAATATTTCTTTCCCTCTCTTTCTCTATCCCTTCCCCTCTCTCTAAAAATAAATAAATAAAATCTTTTTTAAAAAATGTGACTGTGATCTGTCCTGGGTTTTCATAAAGAACAACCACAAGCATCAAGACAAATGTGAGACTGGAAATTCAGCAGAAGAAACTTTGAGCTGGTGGTGATTAAGAGATATTTAAGAGTTGCTACCCTGTTCATTCCTAAAGATACTGAGGATGGGAGGCACATGGATGCAGGTTTTACAATGCACGTGGGAGGGGCTAATGCCAGTCATTTGAATATTAAAGAAAAAGGTGACCCTATAAACCTGGAAGACTCAGTATGCAGTTGACACATGAGTTACATATAAAACTGAAGTAAATGCATTTATTTATCACACTTCCCTTTTTTAAAAAAGTAGACTTTTGCAAAAGTTTTATAAATTATAACAGCTTGCATTTGTATGGCTAGTTAAATGCAAATATATGTTATTTGTTTAATCCTTAGAATAGCCCCATGAAATATATAGACCAGCTAATATTTTATTCCCATTTCTTAAAATGTTTTAAATTTTTCAATTAGAGTTGTCATACAATATTATATTAGTTTCAGGTGTACAACATAGTGACCAGACATTCATATAACTTATGAAGTAATCACCCAAAACATTATATCCATTTAACATATGAGGGACTAAGCTCAAAGATAAAATAGCTCATCTAGGGTCACATAAATGATAAATGGCAGAGCAGAGACAAGAAACCTGGCCTTCCAAATTATAATTAATTGCTACTTCCACTACACTACGTGGCAAAGAATGTGCAACCAGCCTTAGAGAACTTAAATGGCAATAGATTTAGATATTGGAAGATTAGCCAAATCATTTTCCTCACTTCCAATGAATAATGAGCCTTCAAGGATTTCAAAGAAAAGAATGTTTGCTTCTTTCTCAGTTAAAGAACAGAGTTGACTTTCAAAGCAGTTTGACAGTAAAAGGCACTGGAGAAATACAAACCCAGACATTCCCCATTACTTCTACCCAAAACCATTGTCCTCTGGTGTGTAGAAGATTAAAAAAAAAAAAAGAAAAGAAAAAAAAAAGAACAAAGTCTGAGGATTCAATAGAGTTTCCAAATAAAAACAAGGGTTCATTTTGTTTATTCATGGTATTTTTCAGTACCTCCTACAAGTGGTTAATAAAACAGATAAAGTCTCAGTCCTTACGGAGAGCTAAACTGGAGATACTGGCCATTACACAACTATGTGCATAAATTAGCATTATTATAATAGTTATAAATTCCATGGCAGGAAAAGAATATGGTGTTACAAAAAAAATCTAATATGAAAGAGCTAATCTAGATTATGGGGGAGTCAGTGAATGTCTTAAGGAAGAGACATTTGAACTGAGGGATAAAAGTGTGAGCAGAAGTCAGCCAAGAGGGGAACGAGTTCCAGGCAAAGAAGCTAATATGTGCAAAGGCCTCAAGGCAAGAAAAGTTTTTTGAATCTGAGGAACTAAAAATGAGCTAGTTTGACTTGGTGAGCAAAGAAGTTAGTTTCATTGAATGATATTGGGGAAGAAGATGGGGTCCAGGCCTTGTGGCTATTGAACCAGGTAGTCACTGAAGTATTTCAGGCAGAAAAGTGAAATAACCTGACTGATGTTTTATAAAGAGCACCCTGGCTTCTGTCTAGAGAATGGACGGAGAAGGGAACAAGAGAGGTAGTGAGGAACCTGGTTCAAGTGAGAAATAACGGTGGTTTGGCCTGGAGTTGTGACAGTGGAGAAAGAGAGAAGCATACAGATTTGACATATATTTAGAAATCAGAATCAATATTAGTTTAGTGAATGACTGAAAGTTGGGAGTGATGAAAACTGAGGTATCAGAATGATTTCCCAGGTTTCTGGCTTAAGTAGCTGAGTGGATGAGTGGACATGGCTTCCCATTTATCAAGATAATGAAGCTGAGAGGAATAAATACCGCTGGAAGGTGACAGGATATGGAAAACAAGAGCTCACTCTTACACATCCTACATTTGATATACATAGAATACATCCAAGTTGACATCAACAAGTATATAGTAGTTAAATATTGATTCTGGAGCTCAGAAGATAAGTCTGATCTGCATATAAAAATGTGATGAGTTATTTACATTTACATTAGACTTACAACAGTGAAAATGGATAAAACAACTTAGGAAAATAATATAGAAGGAAAGAAAGTCCAAATCTGCTGGGCTTGGCTACATAGAGATATGGCAAGAACAGACCCAGTGGATAGGTAAAAAAGAGAGCCAGTAGAGTAGGTAGAAAAGTGAATGGGGGGTAAATAAGTAAAGATATCATGTATGGACAACCATTTCTTGTTTTGTTTTGTTGTTTTTCCCCCTCACCTGAGGACATGTTTTTCATTGCTTTTAGAGAGAGAAACATAAATGTGAGAGAGAAACATTAATTGGGTGCCTCCTCTAACACTCCAGGACTGGGGATCATAAGTGCCCAGACCAACAGGGACCAGACCCACAACCTAGGTGTGTGCCCTGACTGGGAATCGAACATACTTTCTCAGTTACAGGACAGTGCTCCAACCGAGCTTCACTGGCCAGGAGTTAAGGACAACCCTTTTGAAAAGAGAATGATGTTGATGTCCTTGGAAGAGATATTTTACTAATTATCAAGATGTGGAAAATTTGCCTGACATAGGATTCTTTTACCTACAAATGTTGAATTCAACTTGACTTCAACAATGTTGAATTCTTCAGGGCAGAAGAAAATAATTAATTAATGGATCCCACTTAGAAACAAGCAGTGTAATCAATATCATTACCTGATTCCACATCAAGGGAGTATTTATCAATAGCCAAGTTCATGGTTTGGTAGGCAGTGGTGCAAAAGTCTTCCAGAATCATATACACAGCATTGTTGACATTAGGAGGAACAGACGTGGTGAACTTCATTCTGCTGTTCACCACAATACTGCCATTTCTGAAGTTCAAGATTTCTAAATTCTGGAACCCTGTGAGATTTGACTGGAGATAGGGAACCAGCTACAATACACAGAAAATGATCAGTTTATTAACAAGGTTTTGCATTTTGTTCAAAACATACAAAAAGCAAAAACAAAAAAACAGATAAGCCCCTCCCCCTTTCCAAACTGCATGCTATTTAAATTATTTAAACTGTTCATCAGCAGTGGTATCAATTGTAACTACCCAATACCTTCACAATCCCTTTACCTTTTTCACCTAGTTCCCCAGCCCCCTCCTCCCTGGAAACTATCAGTATGTTCTCTGTATGTATGAGCCTGTTTCTGTTTTGTTTGTTCATTTATATTGCTCTTTAGATTCCACATATATATGAAATCATATGGTATTTGTCTTTCTCTGATGACTCATTTCACTTCACATAATATCCTCTAGGTCCATGCATGCTGTTGCAAATGGTAATGGTTATGGGGATGTAAAGTACAGCATAGGAAATATAACCAATAATATTGTAATAATTATGTATGGTGCCAGTTGGGCACTGGAAATATCAGGGAGAACGCTTTGTAAAGTATACATCTGTCCAACTGCTGCGCTGCACACTTGAAACTAATAAAAAATAATATTGAATATAAACTGTAACTGAAAAAAATTTTTTAAAGAGAACAGGAAGATCAGTTGTGAATTATTTGAGAGTCATGAGATTTTAATAGTGATATTTAAGAATCCCATGGAACTCACAGACAGTTCTAGATAACAGAGAGTTTATTTTCTGTTTCACTATAGGGTCACAACAGTGAAAGCATCATAGGTACCCAGAAAACACTGGTTTTACAATAAACTGTGAAAAAAAACATGTTTCGGTTCCAGAATTCATGAATACAGTCTTCAGTATCTAAGTCGTCACATCTCCCTCATGCCACATTTGTGTTTCTTGTTTCTTATATACACCTGTCTTATTGTTTATCTACCAACTCTAGGCCCTGACACTATTTGTAGTTGATTTTTTTAAAAAAGAGTGTCTACAGCAGACCACATTTTCCTTGGCTCAGGTCTTATTGTTGAGGGGGAAATAGGTGCTTCATACATGATTACTAACTAAGGCCCATATTTCACATCTTGTGCTTACCAATTCTAAGAATCTTTGTTCCAAGGCTTTATACTCCAAAGAGTTTTTATTAAACAGATCTTCTGAAAACATCATGTTAGTCACTCGAAGGCTAAAGAACACTAGCAAAGCTCCTGAGGTTTGCGTATGATTTGAGTCACCTCTTTTTGTGGGCCGAGGCACAACAGCCATCTCTGTGGAGTGAACATTTGTAGACTTTTCCACATAACTACCAACCTTGCCATTTTCCTCTGGGAGTAGTTCAGGCTGATAGTAATCTGTGCCTGTCCAGTCCAGTTCTAGTGAAATATCCTGTACGCCCATAATTACTTCATCCTCCAGCAGGGTGGGGCTTGTGGTTGGAGGCAATGTGGCGGACTGGATCATGGAAGCTTGCAACCAGAGCTTGTCTCTACTCTCTGGCGCACTTGCCAATGTGTCTCCGGACAAATTCCCTAGGGAAGAAGTTTTTGTCCAAACTGTATCTGATTCTGGCAATGTGGTCCACAAAGGTTGCATATCCGACTTCATTATTGAAATCTTGCTATCAAACCGGTCATGACGAGATGACTCTGTGGTTTGTTCCATATCCTCCTTTCGAAAGAGTTGTACTTGACCTGGTTTACCAGTAGAAGCAGAGATAGCTATAGACGTCAGTACAGGAGGTGCTTTAGCACCTGAGTAATAATCAATGTCAGGTACCTCTGACATGTGCTTGGAGAGTAGAGATGCAGATTGAGTTGTGGTCTCTGCAGAAATGGGCACAGTAGGTCCATCACGGGGCTCTTTCTCTGCAAAATGTGTGGATCTACCAAAATGCCCATATTTTGAGCGCTCAATACTTCTGTCTGTGGAATCTATTTTGTCATCTGTAACTAGTTTGTCATCTACACCCTCAGGTGGCAAAAGTGAATCCTCTTCTTCCAGCCATGACTTAGACAGTGGTTGAGTGCTCTTCTCTAGTGAAGTATCACTCCATGGCCAAGTAATCAGACCCATTTTTTGCCCAGACCCTGAACCTAAGCCACTCTCAAATATGAACTCTTTTTCCATGGATGTGTCTGGCATGAAAGTGCTCACTTCTAATTGGCCTTTGACTTCGGAGACCAAAGAGTCCAAGCCAAAATGTATATTTACTTCCTGAGAAGAAAGATCTGTTGTGACAGAAGAGACCAGATATGGTGAGGATGTCAAAGACACCCCCGAGTCTTCCATAGATGGAATTGTGTCTTTTGGCACAGAGTGAGTGGATGGACTTGAAGGCAGTGGATCAATAGAAAGAAAATCTAACTCTTCAACTTCAGTTAATCCTAAAAAATGAAATTTTCCATTAATTAACCTACAGTGTTACTAACAGTTGTTCCCAGTCCTCCTAATAAAACCAGCTTCCTGGTTTTTTCCCCCATTAGATTAGGAAGAACAGTTCCTGACTTTTACATTGCTATATCCAGCAAAAAATAGGATGACATGATTTATGTTTTTGTGATGTGGTATAATCACTCATGAATATACCCCTTTTCCTTGAGAATAACAAGATATCATCTATTAAAATAATTCAGTTTTAAACAGTTGGGTTTTTTTCCTCCACTCCATAAAACTAAAGAGCTGTTGCTAGCCATATTGACTATAGACACTGAATCCAGTGAAAATTTAGGGAGAAAATTTTCTAGGAAATTTTGTTTGTCTTTGAATTTACATTTCCTTGTTATGTTTATTATCCATCATCCTTCAGGTTCACCTAATGTTCATAATCCCAGGTCATTATTTATATCTTTGTTCATCTTCCTCTTTCATATGTATACTCTAGACCTGGGTCCCAGTGATTTTTCCTTTCCTTCACAATTTCTAAATCGTCTACTTGATTTTCATTTTTTAATCTGTACTATGACTGCCTTAGTTCAGGTTCTCCCCTTCTGAAGCCTAATGCAAGTTAAAAATCTCTATTCCTGGCCCCTACAAGTAACCCTGTTAAAAACTAATGGGATAATCTTTGATGCTCTTTACTGCTCCAATATTCAAGTAAGTAAAGTAGTTATTTAATAGTAATAATTATATATATATATATTTTAATAGAACCTTCAAAATATCTATTAATTGATCTCCACCCCAGCCCACCAAGTTCATTTCCCATTATTTTTGTCCATTCCAACCAATTAAATCTGATCGTTCCCTCTCTCACATAACCACCTTCCCAAGATATTTCCTCCTAATGCATGCAACCATGGTTTTCTCTTAACCTGTCTCTTCCTCGCCTCAAAACCCTTGTGATCTGGTACAATAAAGTAAAGATATATGAAAAGTGGGTATAATTTCTTACCGTCTTCTAGTAAGAGAAATCCAGAAATCTGTTCCTCAGAAGCCACAGGCAAGTCGGTCCGAAGCACTGCTGGGCTGACAGAAGGAAGAGTGAAGCTGCTAACCTCTGAAACCTCTGGGGAAGAACTGAGACCCACCTTCGAGGGAAAGGCTAATTTGGGTGGAGACGCTAAATCACCCACAGGTCTTTCTGACCAGAGTTCCCTGCCAGTGGCAGAGGGAGGACCAGAGCTGAAATCAAGTGGAGAAATACTGCTGGTGGCGGATTCATCTGCTGAGGGCCATTCAGCTTGAAGGGTATTATCCTAGGGGGGAAAAAGAAGCTAAATCATATCACAGGTAAAGAGAAACACATAAAAATGATTTTAAAGACCACCTACCTACTTAAATTCCCAGATTTTCTAGGGACAAGGAGGCAATGTAATATTGGGGGAAGAGGGACATGGGCTCTAGAATCAGACAGATTTGTAATCAAATTCCAATTCGAGTTGAAAAGTCTAGCTGAAAACCATGTGCCTATTGAATCTCAGCTGGAAAGGGGAAATAGATAACATACTTAAAAGATTCCAAACAAAATGAATTTGTGGAAGAAAATGTTGTTTTTCTTGCTTTAGATAATTTCTTTTCCTCTATTTTAGCTTAAATACTTTAAATACATAGAAGTTACTAATATCTGTAATTTGCTGTCAAAGACCTAAGCACATTACCAACAGCAGAAAAGAATAATTAGCAATTTTATTCATTATCCTGAAAGATACTTAATTAATTAAGATGTTTGTTTTGATAGAAAATGCCACCACATCAAAATGAGGCCGGGTTATCTCAAACAAATACTAACATCTGTGAAATGGTATCACACAAAATACAATTTTCTCTTCCTAGTGACTTTTTACTAACATAATACTAATCTTATATTCAAATTTCGCTTACAGAGTAGAAAAGTAGACAGAAACATAATCTTTTAGCATGCTAATTATTTAATCCTATGAAGATTAGTCTATGTAAAAATGTTTACTAATGATGCTGAAAGGAAAAATGCAAGATGTTTGGCAGGAGTTTATATGTTTTCATCTATGCTGGGTTATGAATTAAAAAAACAAGTATCACATGCATAGAATTCATAAAATATTTCCTGGGCAAAAGTGGAAAAGGAGAAAAAATCAATCACCTCTACCCTAAATAGCATTAAAATCACATGGAAACATTTTTAAAAATACCAGGGTCCAGGCTCTACATTCCAGAGATTCTAACTTAATTGCTCTGATGATGAGATTTAGACATGATACTTTAAAAAACTCCCAAGTAGGGAATATAGCCTGATCATGTTCTGCTCATACTATTCCACCCTAGATCTCTAAAATATGTCTTTACTTTTTCAATTGTTATATTTTTCATTAACTGAAACCTCCAAGAAATCTCCCACATGTATAAACCTCCCTGAAGACAAGAATTCATGGAATAGCTATGAACAAAATGAAGCCCATGAAAACTAAGAATAGGAAACTGACTATCACCCCTTCCTCTTCCTGCAGGAGATTCCTACCAGTGGCATATGCTCTCGAGCCTCGTATGCTTTTTAAACAAAAGCACACAATTTTAAGGTGGCTAACTGCAGTTCGGTCTATGGCCATCAAATAAAACAGAACCTGCTGGCCTATGAATAGATTCACCCAAATGTCATGACCTAATTAGTCTTTTATGTTTTGTCTGTATCTCTCCCCTTGTCTTTCCATCAAGGGCGTGTGTGCGGAAGTTTAGACAGCACACTCACAATCAAAAGGGAGGAGCGTGAGGCAAGAAATCCCCAGGCATGTCCTAATCTATCCCTTCTTTCAGTGACAAATGCATGGAAGGATAACAACGGTAGTTCACTGGGTACATGTAGAGATGCCCTCAATACCATCTACAATTTTTAAAGTAACAGCACTCTGTCAAATAAATTAATTTCCTTCAGTGGAAAGACACCATGCTATTTTAATTAGGTCCTATTTTAAGCGGGCCACCAAATTGGTCATTCTTTATTTGCCACCACCGCTGGTCTTCCTCATCTTGCTCTCTGCACTGGGAGGCTAACCCTCATTAACTTCATCATTCCTGCGCCCTCACCATCTGTCTTCTGCTTGAGTTTGCCCATTTGGAAGCACAAGGAGAAGATTCAAGGACAGGAAGAGTGAGAGGTGGGAGCATTTCTTCCCTGCTCCCTCCAAGCCTCCAATACTCTGTCTCTTGCGGCAGCTGCATCCCTCCACAGTTGCAGCTCCAGCTCTCCCTAGGCTCTGGTAAGAGTATTTCCTCCCCTTGCCCCATAATCCAGTGACTGGTAACAGCTTCTCAGTGTGGTTAGTCTCTGCATACCTCATCATCTCTTCTTTACTCCTTAACCCTGTATACACTACCACCTAGGTGTCTCCGTAACTCCTGAGACCCTGGCTGAGCCATGTTTTGTAGTCCAGCACGTTTTAAAAGCCCATAAAATTCTGAATCATTTCTGTCAAAAGATGACTAAAGTTGACCGTTGAACAATGCAGGCATTAAGGGCACTGACCCCACCACACCTTCCCACATAGTAAAAAATCTGAATATAACTTTAGACTGTCCCAAAATTTCTAGTAGCCTACTGTTGATCAGAGCCTTACTGATAACATAAATAGTTGATCAACACATATTTTGTAGTATTATAATATATATTGTATTATTACAATAAGGATAGCTAGAGAAAAGAAAATTTGTGGAGGGAATCATAAAGAAGAGAAAATGCAGTTATGGTACTGTATGTATTTATTGGGAAAAAATCTACATATAAGTTGACCCACACAGTTCAAACTTGTGTTGTTAAAGAGTCCACTGTACATAATTCACAACGAAATACAAATGACCAAAAAGGAGGAATGAGAATTAGTTAAAACAACAAAACATGAACCCAAAATGGTATTATTCTGGTTTAACTTACTTAGAAATAAAGAATCTAGAAAGGAAAGAGGGAAGTGATGAAAAGTAGATGATGTAATATTAGTAAATATTTTTTGGCAATGTGGCATTGGTCAAAAAAAGGGAATAGAAGATACATCTAAGCATCAGGCTGGAGTATCTGACCTGAGTCTGTTAAAGTGAAATATATGAGAGAAAAGCAAGATATATGTAAAAGAAAGGAGAAGCAGAAGGTCATCCTTTAATGACTAGAAGTAACTGCAAATGATCTATAGAAAAGAAAAAAAATTCAGGATAAGAAATTACCTCTTGGGATTTCTCTGTCAGAAGTAAACCTGAGAGACCTCTGGACAAGATGGTGGCATAGGTAAATGAGGTGCTCGCCTCCTCCACAACCATATCAAAATTACAGCTAAACTACAGAACAATCATCGTTCAGAACCACCTGATATCTAGCTGACTAGAAGTCTTATAACTAGGAATTTAAAGAAGAAGCCACATCAAGACTGGCAGAAGAGGTGGAAACACAGAATGGGCTGGTCCCATATTAATGTGAGGTAAATAAAAATCAAGAGGGATATATCAAGAGGGATAGCTCCCCTAAGGGAATCCCAACCTCACACCAGGCCCCGTAGCCCAAGGTTCCAGTGCCAGGAAGAGAAGTCCCCATAACTTCTGCCTGTGAAAACCAGCAGGGATAGTGGCTGAGTGAGACAAAGGGCTTCTGGAGTCCCAGGTAGTTAGGTCCTCCTAAAGGGCCCAAGTAGAAACTTATTCAGACTCATTCCCTCTGAACTCCAGCATTCGGATAGTAGCTCAAAAGGTACCAGGGACATACAGGGAGAAACTGAATTGTCTGGCATTAGGCTAAGAGCTGGGTGGGCAGGGGGCAGCTTCCTCCCAGACCACAGTGCTAGCAGAGAGCCCTTCTTGGCACATGATTGCTACCCCTGGGGAAAGTGAAAGCATGTGAGTGAGCAAGACCTTGCTAAAGAGGCTTATTTCTCTCACTCTCCATATGAAGTACTGAGTAGCGTCATGAGCTGCTCAACCAGGAGTGGTAAGTGGCTGGGATTCTGGATAAATCAAACGGATGCAGGTCCTACTAACCACATGATGGACTCCATGAGGAGGCCTGACCATGAGTCTCCAAGATGCCTCACCCATGGATCTTCCCCAACTGGCTCATGGGCACCTCCAGTACTCACTGCACCTCACTTGCACACACTCCTTCTCTACCCGACGGCAAACTCCTTGTGCACATCCCCCATGGCAGAGGGAGCGAGCTCTGGCAGCCAGCCAGTTAGCAGGCACAGAAAGCTGGCCTAAATCTGTAGGTCAGGGAAGAACCACAAACTTGAGCTTTAGCATCAGTCTTGGGAAAACAAAAGGGAGGCTATCAGCCCTCAGCCTGGCGTTTTGTAGGATCAAGAGAAGGTATAGAAGTTTAAGAATTCTGCCACAAGAGAAAGCAACAAGTGTGGAGGAGGTATATCCATAGGAGGTCTGAGAAAAACACAGGATCCTTAGCAGGGATAATGGAAGGTATTTCTCTCCTGAAGTCACTCAGTAAAGACTGAAAGAGGTAACTACTACTTCAAATGTGAAGACAGACACACAAGACTTCCAGAAACAGAAAAAAAAAAAAGAATCAAAGAGACATGACTTCACACATGAATCACAATAATCTCCCAGTGACTAAACCCAAAGATATGAATGGATATCCACAGTTTACCTGGCAAAGAATTCAAAATTGCTATTTTAAAGAAGTTCAATGAGCTACAGGAAAAAAAAAACAGGAAGACAATTCAATGAAATCAGAAAGCAATACATAAACAAAATAAGAAATTTAACAAAGAGAAATCATAAAATTTAAATGAACAAATTCTGAAGCTGAAGAATACAATGAGCAGAGTGAAGAATGCAACAGAGAGCATCAACAACTGCATCAAGCAGAAGAAGAAAACCTGTGAAGTAGAAGGCAGGACCTTTGAAATTATCCAATCAGATGACAAGAAAGAAAACAAAGTGAAAAAAATCCTGTATAAACTATAAAACAGTATCAGAAGAAGGAATCTGTGAATTGCTGGAGTCCCAGAGGAGAAGAGAGAGAGAGAAGGGCAGAAAGTGTATTTAAAAATAATGGCTGAGAACTTCCAAATTCAGAGAGATTTGACCATCTAAGTTCACAAAACTCATAGGACCCAAAGCAAATACAGTTTCAAAGTATCTTCTCTAAAAAATATTATAATAAAACTGTCAAAATCAAAAAGCAAAAAGAGAACCTTAAAAGCAGCAAGAGAAAAGTAGCTTATCACACATTGGGGAACCCCCATTAGGCTATCACTGGATTCCTCAGCAGAAACCATGCAGGCTAGGAGAGAGTGGGATACCTATACCTATATCTGCCAAAATAAACTTTAATTCAAAAATTGTAACAAAAGGCTAAGAGGTCATTATATAATGATAAGGGGGTCGATTCATTAAGAAGATGTAACAATCATAAACATATTTACATCCAACATTACAGCACCTAAATATATTAAGTAAATACTAGCAGGTCTGAAAGGAGAAACAAACAATGCAATAATATCAGGGACTTTAATACCTCACTTTCAACAACGGATAAATCATCCAGAGAGAAAGCCCATAAGGAAATTCGGGACTTAAACTATACTTAAGCCAAATAAACCTAACACACTCACATGAGGCGGCACCCCCGCAAAAACAGAATTATCTTCTGGAGGCAGGGCCCATTGTAATATCGTCTTCCCCCGCTAGGTGAGTATTCTAGGAACCCATCTCTATCAGTGCACCAGCTGGCATCATTGTGAGAGGCTATGTTCCACTTCAGTGAAATTTTTCTGAGGACTCTTTCAACATGTTTGCCTATTTCATGATGGGCGATTTACCAGCACACCTGCCCACAATGCAGTGAGTGAGTGAGTGGCAGTTTTTTACTAAAAATGGCGTGACTCCCCTTCCCCATCCTCCCTATTCACCCAGTCTCACCCCGAGCCACTTTGTTTTCCTCCATGAAAAGGAGTTCTCAAAGGCAAACATTCTTGCCACTGTGGAAGAGGTGAAACGAAAAATGGCAGCAGCACGAAAAGACATCAAAATCGACGACTTCAAAAACTGTTTTGAGCGGTGGAAAACAGTTTTGGTACAAAAGGTGTATTGCACCAAATGAAGATTACTTTGAAGACAACTGAAGTTTAAACATGTAAGAACAAATACACAATTTTTTATAAATAAATTCTGGGCTTTGGGAGCTCCCATCATATACAGAACATTCTACCCAATGGCACCAGAATACATGTGTATATTCTTAAGTGCACATAGAACATTCTCCAGGATAGAACATATGTTAAGTCACAAAACAAGTCTTAGAAAGTTTAAGAAAATTGAAATCATACCAAGTATCTTCCCCAACCGCAATGGTATGAAACTAGAAATTAGAAACAGGAAGAAAACAGGAAAATTCACAAATATGTGGAAATTAAGAAACACACCCTTGAACAACCAATAGGCCAAAAAAAGAAATCAAAAGGCAATTAAACAACAATCTTTGAAACAAACAAAAATGGAAACACAACATATCAAAACTTATGGAATGCATCTAAATTTACGTAATTATCTAAAACCACTTCTAGAAATGTGTTAAAACCACTTGTGCTTCCAGTTGCATTAGGTATATTTGCATCTTTGCAAATTCTAAATGTATATTTTTTCAAAATTCCAAGTGAGATGGCTTAAGCCCTTTAACCCATACTTAAGAAACTGAGTTTTATCAGACAGAGCCTATAACCTGACACACATCAGGAAAGCAGCTGAGTTCTCAATGAAAAAGAAACCCTCAAGCAATATACAAATTTCTCTAAACTAAATGCCTTTTCATTTCACAAAAGTTAAAAATAAAACAATACACAATAGCTTTAATAAAATTCAAGTCACAAGTAAGAAACATAAAATGTGGAAGTAAACAACTCCACTCTTTAAATAAAGGAGGGCCATCTATTCCAAGTAACTACACCCCACCACCCCCCAAAAAAGCCACAGCAATGAAGCTCTCTCATACATTTTGAAGGCGGAACACATACATGCCAGGAATAGCACTTCATTTATTTTTATATGGATAAATGCCCCCATAGTAACTAATTCAACTCATGAATTCTTCTTTTAGTTCAGTATATTAACAAGTTTAATACTATATTGGACAGTTTCACTTCTGCTAATGCCAGTTGAAAAGCCTGCTACTGCTATAGAAAGCACAGTGTGCAAAAAGTGATTTTCCAAGTCAGAATGCCAAAACATATCAAATTCAATAGCTCAGAATTCCTACCTCTAAAATAATTTCAAATCAAATAAAAAATCAAATCTGGTAAAAGAAAAAAAAAAATCTCATTAACAGTTTGCCAAAAAGAAAACCACAAGAAGGAAGCAATAACCAAACTCTTCCAATTAATCATTCTTTCTTTCATGTTTTATTATCATCCATTAACACTGTCTCCTCCAATTGTTCATTAGTGCCCTACAGTTATCACTATCCAAAAATCTAGGGAGCTGGCCCAACGGCAAATGGAACCACAGACCAGCTAACGCAGCGGGGCCCGGTTAGCCGGTGCTCTCACTGTCAAAGGGGCAGCCCCTCCTGGCGGAGCTCTAGCCCTTTTCTGCACCAGGGAAATGTGAACTTAATGACACCCGATCTTTCGGGCCTTTAAAGAAAGTTGGAAATATGCATTTCTATGCAAAAAATCGCCTAGTTTTTAAATATTGGCTTTTTAAAAATTTGGCCCCAGAGCACATGCCTATATCTGGGTCCAGCTGATTTGTCTCTGGTTTGCAGCCCCAGGCTTATCCAGAAATTCCTGTCTTAATAATACCTACAGTATCACCACAGGTCTTCTGTGTTTAGAGAAGCTCCAAGCTGAGTGTGATTCGCAGAAACAGAAACTGGTGTACCACGTTCACAGTGAATCACACTCCACACCACTGCACCCTGGAAGGACTTCTGTGAGAGCATCACTTTATTTGTGTAGGAGTCTGTCTAGTACCACCAGACTGGAAACTTCTTGTAGGCAAGGCCGCAAGACCACACCTTATTCATCTTAGTTTTCCCAGCACTTGGCACATGAAAAGCGCAAAATAAATATATTTGAAAGAATGAATTAGTAAATGAATAAATAAACACCAAACGAATGAAATCTCTGATGCCGTTCGCCCTCTAACCTTTTTTATCCAATATAGAACTTGGTTAAAAAAAAAAAAGGTATTCCCAGTAATTTTACTTTTCAAAACCAAGTTGCTCTATTACTGAATAGAAGAAGTGGCTGCATGTATTAATGGTTAAGTAAATTTTGGACGCTTTCTAAATTTTCATTGCTGGATTAAAGCCAAGAAACAAATATTTCAAGTAAGTATTTCTTCAAGCAAAGAAACAGTATTTCATGTAATTCATTGCTGAATTAAAGCCAAGAAACAAATATGTCAAAGTAATTATCATTAATCTCTTTTCTGTCATAATGAGATAGAAAAGAAGCCTCAAGAGGATAGGAGTAGGGAACGTGGAAGGGGTCCCCGTCTCCCGTGTCTGTGTGATAATAAAAGGCCGTGTGTTTACTTCAGACAGGTGAGTCTCTAGTGGGGTTGTGGCTATGGCTGTTGTTGTTGTTTTCACTGCACTTGCAGAAGCCACTTTCTTGTCTACTGAATGACTCCTCACAGGTAAAGTGGCAAGTAGAGGCTTGGAGGGAGTAGAGAGTGCCCAGGGAGGTGGGTGGTGAGAACAAAAAGGAAAGTTTGTTCCATGCTATTCCTGTACAAACCCTGATGTTTTCAGCCCAAGTTAAAGGAGGCCTGATTTAGAGTCCCTGTCATTTGTTGGCTAGCCAATATTTTTATCCTTTCTTTTCTCCATTCCACACACACACTGTTCTACATGCTTTGGAGTCTAAACTTTTTCTTAAATACAAACAAAAAACTTAGAACAAAAAACTATACTTTGTACCTATGTACAGCAATTTATTGTCTTGGCTAAAAAAATTATTTCTGTATTACTTTCAGAGAACAACACTAAGGGCACTTAACAGCTTGATTATCACCAAACAAGCATGAACCATAAATAAGTTTTCTACCAAATGTGGAGTTTGGCAACGCCAAATGTGTGGATTTCATTTAATTACTGCAGAGGGCTTAAATTTTCTAACCCAATCCTTGGGACCCATGAGCTGACAACTAAGAATAATGTTCCAGGGATGATGTAAGAGAATATTTGAAGTAGGGACAGCTCGGGAAATTTGTGATGCCAAAGTAAGCAGGGGAGGGGACACAGAAGAGAATCTTGAGGGCCTGTTCTAGGCATGCGATGTAGAAACACACTTACCAGAATAGATGGTGGGGTTGCCTGAAGACTTAAACTCTGGGTGTTCGAAACTAGGTCTTCAGTTTGGGGAAGTAAAACTCCTCTCACTGAAGGGAAAACAGCATTCAAGAATATTTTTAATTGAGACACTATTGTATTTGAAGTTCAAGGACAACCAAACACCAACTTCTTTCTTTTTACAGTTTCGATTTGGGCAGAGCAGGTGAGGTAGACTTGCTTAGAAAATGCTTGCTACTTTATTTAGATATTTTACTTATATTAGCACCATAAGGCTCTAACATAAAGATTCTTCCCATTGTTACATTCAGGACACTCCCTATATTATTTTGTTTCCTTTCTCAAGCAATTTTTATTTTTCAAGATTCCTATAAAGCAGTTGTTTCTAAAATTGATTTTTTTTCATTTTAATAAGAAAGTTGAACTGAAATTCCAATGCATTTAGTCAACACTAACAATGGAGAAAATAATGCAAAACGATATTCTTTCTGTCAGAAAGTATCTCTGAAAAATGGGCTAGGACATCAGAGAATTTGTCACTGTACCAACATTGAAGAGCTATAAAGTTAAAGGAGATTGTATAATTTAATTTAACAGAATTCACTGAATCCCTTCTAGTTACTACAGACTAGGATGAAGTTGAGGCTCTAAGCATTAATAAAGCCAAGATTCTCCTATGGAAGGACTTCATATATCAGAGAGATAAATACAAATCATAAAATGCTGTGAGGGACATACATAAGATGTATGGGAGCACAGACAAAGGAGAAATTAATTTTGCCTAAAGGAGAGAAGGAATCAAAAGAACCTAAAGGAAGGGGTTGTCAGGAGGGTGAACTGGTGTATGAACCAAAAATAGCAGCAGAATTTCCCGTTACTCACCTGTTCTTACTGGACTGACATAGAAGCCAAAAACCCTATTTGGTTTAAGTATTTTCCAAAATTCTTTTTCAGTTTAGTATACAATTACCTTGTCTTCTATGGGAAACAAGCAGTGGGAGATCAAGATGAACATATCTTTTAAGAGTATGACAAAACTACCTAGAAAGTTACAGCTACTCAGAATTCTGAAGTTAGTATTACAATAGAAATAAATTTTAGACACAAAAATTCTGAGTAATTAAAATGTACATCTAATGAAAGTTCCAAACACCTGAATTAGTTTGCACTGATATCCTAAAGTTTTCATTGAACTTGCTTGGAAATTCCAAGAGGGCTGTTGACCTCTTTTTGAGGACACCTTCCAGGAGGAAGCCCCACTCCCAGGCTCCACACAAAAGGAACACCTTGCTGTGTTGTGGGTTTAGTTTCCTAAACAACCTCACCTGGTTTATGGCACACCTTAATCTTCATCCTATTCTTTTACCAACCTGCCTTGGTGTTTGCATCTTCTACTCAAATTAGTTCCCTTATCCCTCAGGTCAAGACCTCTTAGCTATATCTTTTCTCTAATCCCAGGACCCAGATTCCTGGAACCTTCTGCCTATATGCTGTCTCCATAAGTAGCCCCCAGCTAGTCCTTATTAGCTTTGCCAAAAGGACTTCAGCAATTTCAGATTAAAACAAGCTTCTTCTCTTTTCACCATTTTATCTTACCTAGGTATTCTAAAATGAGGAAGTGAGCCCAGGGTACTCACACTGTTCTAAAACACAAAGCCTCCCTAGTGTTTTAGAACTGATGGCTTAATATCACTATCTCCACCAAAGAAAGAGCTTCTCCACTTTGAAGTCTTCCATAACTCTTGTAAAATCCAGGCTTATCTGTGGCTCTGCCTCAGCACACTGTTACATTAAAGAGACATCAGATGTCCAGCAGCCAAAATTACGGAAAAGTAATTCAAAATTTTAGCTTAGCCCTCAAAAAAAAATCTTATTTAGGAAGTAAGAATTTATCATAGTAAAATTTTGTTAAAATTTTTTCTTTTATTTTCCTATGTGTCTATTTTTGTTTATCTACACACACACACACACACACACACACACACACACACACACACACAAACACACACACAGCCTAGGTAGTAGTTCCCTAAAAATAAAGATATGTAGCAGTTGGAGAGGCTGAAAAAATGTGTCATTGTTAGTATTGCCTCTCACTTGTGGATTTTCCTCCTTGGCAGCTGGTACATCTCCTATGTGGTCACTTCAGTAAAATATACTCCGGACATTTTAAAAGTTAAATTACTGAGTGAAGAAACTGTGGTGAGGTAGCCTTGTCTGGGTGGCTCAGTTGGTTGGAGCATTGTCCCATACAAGAGAAAGGTTGCGGATTTGATTCCCAGTTGGAGGTGCAGGCGGGAGGCAACTCATCAATGTTTCTCTCTCACATCGATGTCTGTCTCTCTCCTTCCTTTCCTCTCTCTCTGAGATCAATGAAACTATCCTGGGGTGAGGAAAAAAGGAAGGGAGGGAGGGAGCGAAGGTAGGCAAAGGGGGAAGAGGAGGGAAAGGAAAGGAAGGAGGGAGGGAGGGAGGGAGGGAGAGAAGAAATTGTGGAGAAGTAAACATGAAGTAGCAATTAAGGTAACAGGACCTCATGTTTCTAATGACTTAAGCTCTTGCACACTGGTAACCAGACTCAGCAAACTTTTGTACCAGGTTGACGAGATCACTCTTTATCCTCTAAATTCAGAGCAGTCAGCTCTCTTTGCTGATCCTAGATCTACCTGTTGATTTTGGATCATAACTGGATCTCTACAGCTATCTGAATTCAAACTTAGTATTGGATTCTCTGGGACTCTGCCCAGCACCCAGTATCAGTTCTTCTTTGACCATGGTCTTCCATCAGCTTTGCTGAGCTGCTCCTTCTCCTGCTCTCTGTCTGGCTCTTAAGCTGTTCTCAGCTGACTTGCTTCTGGAGAGTTATTGTCTTGGTTGCTGGGCCAGCACCACAGCCTGTTTCAAGTCATACTCTAGGTACTGCTCTACTTTTTCTTACACTTTGCCTCCATATGTCCGAACTCTTTCTAATTATCATGCTGTTCTCCACAAAGAGTGGCGTTCTATCTACAAATATTCCACAGAGCCCTTAATTAATCTGTCCCAAATAGCTGCATGGCTAATGTTCCATTCATATGAGGATGTCTCCTATCTCATGCAGTCTAGAGAATGCTCAGAACCACATATTTTTAGGGAAATTAGTTTTCACCAGAGTATGCATGAAAAGGAACTGAAACTAAATAAGGACTTCATGATTGATATCAGACTCACCATTGATAAGCTGAAGGGAGTCAGGATCCGGATTCAAAGAGGAGTTCCTCAGCAAAAAATTTTGATGCAGAGTCTCAGCAATATAATCTCTGAAGTTACTAATTGTATAAGCAGCAGTGGGTTTATCATCCAATTCCACAAGACCATGGTTTTCCACCTTGTTGGAGTGAAGGCTGATTAGGTCCCAGGTGGTATTGCTGATGGCCTCACCATTGAAGGTAACTGCATAGTGAACATCTATGCCACTATGGATAGAAAGAGAGAACACATTAGGCCCTGCTAAGGGAGCACAAAGGAAGGAGCTATGAACCCAGGGAAAACAAACAGTAGACCTAGAGCGAGAGTCTCAAAAAGCATGGTTTCCATCACCATCCTGTAGGAGCAAAATGGTTCCCAAATTTAAGCAAAAAAGGAAATTAAGTACTTCTTCCTCTGAGCTTATTTACATGTTCTTAGATATTCCTTGATTATAGCCTTTGTTGTTTTGTAAAAAGACTTTGTTTACAGTGACTGCCTTTCAGTTTCTTCTTGAGTTTCTATCCTCAATGTTCAGCTCAGTAGTTGGGACTGAGGGGTACCCAGCGTCTATTAAATGAACAGAAATCTATACTTATCTGAGTAAAGAAGACTGCAGCTTAATAAAGGTATTCACATACCTAAAGAGAAAGTATCAACATCATGATAATAGCCTCATGAAGACTAGGAAAAAGGAAATTAGTCGACTAGCTTATGTTACTCTTGAGTGGAACCCTCCTCCCCAGTGTATTGTGGCTTCCTCGTAAGACAGACCCTTGGACTGTAGACAGCTATAACAGGCTAGCGTGGCTTGATGAGACTGGCCACTAAAATCACCAACTTCCTTTTCCTGATTTCAAATTTGAAAGGTAACTTTTGATTATAAGTGCATACAGATTTTCCTATGGGAAAAGAACACATGAGCCAGCTAATGCAATAATTGGTCATTGGCAGACATATTTCTCACTTTAAATACATCAATTGTCATCCTAGAGAATGCAGTGTATTTTGTGGTTTGCTAAGCATAAATTGATCTTAAGAGACCTCTCCTTCAGAGCACAGGCAATGCTGGACCTTGCCCCCGAGTCTGCGTGTTGCAGATCACACCCTGGACTACAGGGGACACCATGAGGGTGACATCCTTGAACATGCCATTCAAGCAGCCAGGCTTCTTTGAATTTCCTGTCTCACTCTGAATAACTTCAATAAGGTTTTCGTTCCAGATCTGATAAGCTGCCACTTCCAATGGGGTGGTCTGGGCACTTTGAAATGGTAACTGAGCATTTTGACACCTGCTGCTCTAAATGGTAAGATATCTGCTTGTCATCTATAATGTCCCTCAACCACTTAATTTTTCATGTCAGAATATGTTGATTTATGCATAATTCCTGGTCTTTTTTTGTAGAGAAATAAATTCAGTAAAATATGCTAAAATAACCAAATGAAGGCTCCAACGTGGAATAAAACAGTAAGAGGGCCACCTACTGGTCAAAACTCACTATACCGTGTGTGTCTGAAGTATCTAGCACGATCCCTGGCTCACAGCAGTTCAGTAAGTGTATTTGAACATAATGAAAAAAAAAATGGTCGACTTCATTCACTAATACAAGCAGATAAGAAAACTGAATTTATACCACTTAAATGACAGTATGTGATACTCCTGACTTAATCCAAAGGATTTTTAGTCTCTAAATATAGAAGAGTAATTTTTTACCCTACAAAAGCATACATATTTTCTTCACACAATAGTGTCTTCTGAGTAATCAATTACAGGCATTGCTTCATAGCAAGAACACAACCCTGTGAACATATGAGTGCTTTTCCCAAGCTTTGTGGCATGGACCATGCCTGTATCTCCAGAAAGGTTGACTTCTCCTTGGGGTCTTTGCACAACATATTAACATGTTAACAGGGCTCTACAACAGGAAACGGTGGTAAGGGAAAAACTGGAGAAGAAAGGGTTGTACCAGTTAACACTTCAGTTGGTTTCTGGGCCATGAGAAAATCAGAGAAGGAGAGGCAAGCCTTCGCAGCAGCGAGCCTATGATGCGCCTTGCATGACTTGTAAATATTGTATGGAGAAGATCAAGAGAAACATTCCTGCATCAACAAATCTATGCACATCAGGCAATCTGGGTTAGAATACTGGCTTTACTTCTTATTGGCAAAATAAAATTTGTCTCCCAAATGTTTCCCTTGAACATCTAAAAATAACTTGTTATGATCTACCTTGCCTATTGAGGATAAATTCATTAAAGAAGATAAAAATCCTCAGAGAGATGCTGCTATTTATTACCATGGTTGTTTGTTGTTGTTGTTGTTGTTGTATTAAAGATTTTATTTTTAGGGAGAGGGGAAGGGAGGGAGAAAGAAAGGCAGGGAAACATCAATGTGCCAGAGATACATAGATTGGTTGCCTCTCGCATGCCCTCACCTGGGGACCTGGCCTGCAACCCAGACATGTGCCCTGTCTGGGAATCGAACCAGCAACCCTTCGGTTCAACAGGCCGGCACTCAATCCACTAAGCCACAACGGCCAGGACACCATGTTTTTATTCTGGAAAGAAAACTCAAAAAATGTTTGAGGTATCAGGAAACCAGCTATTCTCAGAGCCAAGCACTTTAGTGTGATTCGGAACAGACTGAGCCCTGGAATGGCAAATGGGGTACAGAGATGGCAACAGTATAGAAGAGAGCCAGGAGGCCCAGGATGTACCTAAGAAGCCGAATGCACGCTGGTAGACAACCACTATCTGACTGAAGAGAGCTATGCCGGCTCTCTGCACTGACAAGTCTAAGGTAGCCAACCACCACGTATCCTCTGTCATCTTTCATCTTCCAAACTAGACTGAAACATCCTCTTTAAACAGGAAAGTTTCTCTACCTGACAGCTATTTCCAGAGATTTCAGTCACATGGAGGTGAAATTTACCCTTTCTCTCTCACCTCAAATGCCCTTGTTGGCTGTTTGACATGTACAGATTTTAAGTAGAAAAAATAATGCAATGTCATCTCATTAAGATTAACCAAAATAAAGATACTTCAGAGAAACTCAGATATCCCTTCTTCTATAAAACTTCTGTTAGGAAGAAGATGCACACTTACAAAGTCTGGAGCTGAATTTCTGAAGTGTGTATACCAGGCAAATACATTGTTGATTCACTTCAAATGAGTCCTACTAACTTAAAATAATGCGTGCATCCTGAAAGGGATACAAAGCAAATAGAAAACTTCATAGCATATAAATGTTTATGTTTATAATATTTTGTTGCATTATGTTTATAACGTAATATTTATCAACGTTTAGAAAGAGATTATATATCATGTAAATAGACTACTTTTGTGTCACACCTATAAATTCATTCATACACAGCTCAGAACCAAAGTATACCAAAAAGTCATGAATAAATTTCAACTGTGCAATACCTGACAATACTGAACAGTTTGGAAAATGTACCTAGAAAATCTAATGACTTCATATTGAATTGTTGTCAATGTCCCCAGAGAAATCGCAGCAACCAGATAACTATTCTTTTGATCATAGAATAACATCAGAGTTTGGGTCGTTTTACATGCTAATCACCTACAAGAGAGCAGCAATTAAGCAATCAGGCTTTTTGGTTGATTATAGATCATCAACAAACACACACATGCCTGTAACACACACACACACAGAGCAGATTACACATACTCAGAGTACAGAAACCCAAATTCTGATTACCTTGGTCAAAATACCTGATGCCGCCTAGTCATAGAACTTACAGCAAATTAATTTGCCTCTCTGAGGCAAAATTTCCTCACCACCTAATAGAATGAATATTAATTCTCATTGTCATTATCTTACAGGGATATAAAAAAGTAAAATGAAAAAAATAAAAGAACCAGTACTTTGACATATCCCTGAAAGTACTTTTCATCAAACTGTGTTCCTAGACAATGGAATTTTTGTAGACACAGGATCTGCCTAATTCTTAGTAAGTACTTAGTAAACACTTGCTAAAATCACAGAAAACAAAGAAGTCAGAAAGCCCTTTCCAAATATAAGGTATGACAACAATGGAGCATTACTGTACCTCTAAACATGCCCACAGTTAGCCTATGAATACACTTCACAAATTCTATATTATATTTACCAATCTTCTGAGAGAAAGAAAATTTTCAATAAATTTGGAATCCAAAGGCAAAAAAATAAACAGCAACCTTCACAAGGGGTATTGACCATGCTTTTCTATTGACTATGTTTCTTCTAAGAAAATCTAGAGATTAGCTGTTTTTGCAAATGAGCTCTTAAAGAGATCAGCTTTCTTCCCTTCATTTACCACTTCAAAAGATTATTGATTATATTGTTGAATGCACAGCATACTTGAAAGTGTTCACATTAATGAAAGTTTTTTTTTCCTATTTTAAATCAAGTGTAACTCAATACAGGGTGGGGCAAAAGTAGGTTTACAGTTGTTTGTATGGAAAATAATACAATTATTAGCAAATAATAATACAAGAATGAACTCTTGTTTCATAAACTCACAACTGTAAACCAACTGTGGCCCCACCCTCTACCTAAGAGTTCTAGTCAGCTATCAGTCTATAACAGGTCTATAAGCCACTACCTTTGAGCTAAATCCAGCCTATTGTCACTGAGTTAATGGCTTTTATGTTTTGAATGGTTGAAAAAAATCTAAAGAAAAACATTTTGCGACATGTGAAAATTATATGAAATTTATATTTCAGTGTCCATAAATTAAGATTAGTTTTTGTTCAAATTATAAAAAGCAAACACAGCCACATTCATTTGTTTTCAACGTATTGCCTGTATCCACTTTCATTTGATAGTGGCAGAGATGAGTAGCTGCAACAGAGACCACACAGCCTGAAAGTTTAAAATATTTACTATCTGACCCTTATAGAAAAACTTTGTCAATCCCTGATCTATATGAAGATAGACACTGATATTGGAAGTGATAAAAGAATTGAGACATGCTCCCTTGGACCTGGGTCTACCACATTTTCTAAACTAACTCCTCATTCATTCGATAGTATAGAAAAGTACCAAAAAGTACTCTACCTGCTGTTTTCCTTGGGGGACCTGAAAATAAAAATTGAAAGTGTTAAGCAGAACTCAAAACAGTTATATTTGTCATACAATTCATCAAAGTACAAGTTCCTGATATATTTCCTCTGAAATATTTCTTTAAATGAAAATACATGTAAAGTATCAGAAGCTGACAAATCCCTATAGATTTAACAAAGTGAGCAAAGGTGGAGAAAGTGTTCTATTTTTAAAATAAATAGTATTTACTATCTTTAAATTTTATTAAAATACTTTTAGAGGGATTTATATGTTTATAAATAAACTTTTTCAGTAAGTCAGCAGGGGACTCCAGTAGTTGGCATTAACAAAACTGAGAACACCTTTGGGGAGATATAATATGTTATGTAGTATTGAAATAAATGAAAAACAAATCATTTGATATAAATAAAGTTCAAAGGGGTTGGAAATGTCAGGACTGACTAACCAATAGGGTATTTCATAGCCTTTAATATTTACATATTTTATGTAACAGACACTTTTAAGTTCTATTAAGAACTTCCCATGTGCCAGGAACTACGCTAAGCATTTTGCAAAAATTAATTCATTTAGTCCTCATTAAGACTTATTAAGGACCATTAGTATTTCCATGTTACAGGGAAAGAAGCTGAGGTACAAAATAGCTAAATCATTTACTTAAAGTATTTCAAAATTATTTTTTAATAAGGCAGGATTTTTGGCAACTTGTCTTTTTTATACAAATGAGAAGTTAAGGACTTGGTAATTTACCCAAAACCATCCAGCCAGATGTGCCAATGGCAGGATTTGGACCTAAGCAAGTTGACTCCAAAGGCTATGCTGCTTCCTGTGCTGTCAAGTGAGAGAGGTGCCCAAAGGCCTCACACGCACCGGCTCTCGGATGAGCTTTAGTCACAGCGGCATTCTGTGAAAAGCGCGAAGGCTGAACTGGGGAGACGGACCAGTCACGCTGTGAGGCTGGTGGAGGGTCAATTTCCCGTGACCCTCCCCTGTACCAGTAACTATCTAAGTGTTCCCAGGTAAATTATAATATTTAAATTCCCTGTGCTCCGGTCTACTTATCAGAAACAATGTGGATAATAAAAACTGTCTCATAGCATGGCTGTTGGGATTAAATGAATTAAAATAAAGCATGGTACACTGTAAATGCTATGTAAGTGATTGCTATTATTTCTGATAAGCCCAAAAGTTGTGACAAGAATATGCCACAGTTAAGATGTTGGCACTGTTAATTATGCTCCAGTGCCCCTGCTCACACTCAACTGCGCCCAACTGCTGGGCCGCAGCAGTCACCCAGATGCTCCAAACCGTCAAATACATGGAGATTCAGAGCAAGAGCTATAAAGTCAGCCACTCTGTTTCAAATTTACAAGCTAATTTACAGGCTCTCTGACTCTGGGCTCAAACTTCATCCCTTTAAACCTGTTTGTTTCTCTGTCAAATGAGTATCAACAATAATATTTATTCTAAGAGGACTGGAGATTAAGTGAGCTCAGGAATGTGAAGGGCCTAATGCAAAGTATTCGTTCAATAAATGTTCGCAAGTATTATGCAGAGGGTCTGAAGCAAGGAAGAAATGCCTTCAAAAGAGGTCCTTGATTTACTCAGAACTACTATGTTTGAAAAGACAGTGAATGCAGAGTGGCCTCACACCAAGGCCTCAAAGTCACCTCAGTGGAACACTGACAAGCGTTAGTAGGACCTCACAGTCACATATAATCTGACTTCAGACACCCCTCAGTGACAAATAAAAGCAGTGTATCATGTCAGCAGCAAGCTGGAGACATGAATTCCTAAGTTCTTACCCTGGCCCAATTACAGATCTAGTACATACTATTATACTGTCAGATATAGAATACATTATTATTACTATACAGATTTAGCACTCAGACCTTGAATACATTATTTTGCCTTTTTCTAACTCAGTTTCCTCACTTGAAACACTAGCATTAGGAACGTAAGTTTACCAGAAGTAGCATTAAAATACAGCATTCAAATCATTTTGATTTATTTTTGTGTCTATAATACACACAAAAGAATATTGCACTTGAAATAAAGGGGGCATTACATAAATAAAGAGTAGCATTTTAAAAATGTTACTAAACATGTGTTTTTAGAGGAAGTCTATTTACCTGAAGTCAAGTACATGGATGTCCTTGTAGCCAGGTAACCCAGTAAATGCATTTTCAACCTGTTAAAAATAAAAATAAATTTATAACTGTGCAGAAATGTGAAAAAGGATGTAGAAATTAATGCGTTTAGGAGTAGGATATAAAGTGCACTGTTTACAACTATTAGGAGCTTGAATACACACACAGGTACACATGGATCAGAAAGTTATTAAGAAAATTATAATAGTTACAATGTTAGAAAATAGTGTTTACCACAACACTGATACATTTTTATTTTGTCTTATAAGGTTCTAATGTGCTTTAATATTAGTTTTTGTTCAAATTATAAAAAGCATACTTCTCATTGACAAGGACTGTTTTTTCCCTGATGTGTTGAAACGTGAAAAAAAAGCATTCATTTCAAAATAAGCTATAAATAATCGCATTTTTAAATGTACTAATTTGGATTAGAAATCTGGCTTCAGCACACACAGTGACAAACAGTCGGGTGCTCATTCCCTAAAAATGTCTGGTGGTGTCTGTTTCTTGTTCCTACAAAACAAGGGAACTGTGGACACAGTCAACATTAGGAAGAAATCTGGCCTTTGCTGGCGTGGCTCAGGTGGTAGGAGCATCGTCCCACACACCAAAAGGTTGCGGTTCACTCCTCACTCAGGGCACGTACGGGAGGCAACCAATCAACGTTTCTCTCTCACATTCTCTCTCTCACACATTCAATTTTCCCTCTCCCTCTCTCTCTCTCCCCCAGCCCCACTTTCCTCTCTCTCTAAAATCAATAAACATAGTTTAAAAAAGGGTTTTTTTTTAACCTGTAAGCCTGGGCTAAGCCCGCAGGAGAGAGGCCTTGTTCACTGGTTGCCATAAAGGGGATTATAAATCAGTGACTGGGTAACTTGTCAAAGATCAATTTAGAAACATCACATCTCCAGGAACCAGTTTTATTACTGAGTCTTTAACATCCCACCAAGTAAATCAGTATCTGCTTAGTGACTGGAGCAGGAAAAAAAGAATTCTAAGATGAACTAAATATCTAAAAATAATCATGTTATGCACAAATACCAAATGCTTAACAGAATTTAACATTTTATCCACCACATTCCAGAAGACTTGGTCTTACCAGGTAAGTCCTCTGGGGCCAACAGCAGAAGAAGGGAAGTGAGCTGTTAGTGGACTTTGGGAACTATGAGTGAAGCTTTAGGCATCTGTTTTCAAAACCAAGTCCTCATGTGAGTATGATTTATGAAAAGCCTTGGTTCAAAACAAAACAAACTTGTAGATACAGAGTATGTTTTGACGGTTGTCAATGGGAAGTTGTTCGGTGTGTGTGAAAAGGTGAGCGGATTAAGAAGTACAAATTGGTAGTTACAGGATAACCATGGGGATGTAAAGTACAGCACAGGGACTATATACTATTGTAATAACTATGTATGGTGCCACGTGGGTACTAGATTTATCGGGGTGACCGCGTTGTAAGTTATATACATGTCTAACCACTATGCTGTACAGCTGAAACTAATATAATATTGAATGCCACTATAAGTGATTAGTAGTAAAGAAACAAATAAATTTTGATTGAATGAATATCTTCATGCTTTAAGAATAAAGAATCCAAACACATGCAACTTTCTGACTATAATAACTTGCCTTGTTTATTCTCTGAGAAGAAAGGGAGTCTTGCTATAATTCTTAGAGGATGGGGGTGGGGATGGGAACTTCAGGACAAGGAACCTGAAGACTAAGGGATAAAGTCTCAGCTGCTTTTGCTGGCGAAGTGGTTGTGCATGTCTCTTTTATAAAACTAATGCTGCCCTGCTCACCAACCATGTCAACTTTTGTAAGATTAAAATGAGTGTAGCTCAAAGTAGTCCATTAACTGCAAAATGCTGTATAATTGCATATTATTATTATTACTAAACTCACTTTAAGCTTTGCCATCTCTTGAATCTAAACACATATGGATTTTCTAACCCATCATATCCAGTTAGTTACTATACAGGTGTTCAGTTGTAAGAAGTCATTCTGCTTTACTAACATCAAGATTAACAATAGGTACAATGGCCCTAGCCGGTGTGGCTCAGTGGATTGAGCGCCGGGCATGCAAACCAAAGGGCCACCAGTTCAATTCCCAGTCAGGGCACATGCATGGGTTGTGGGCCAGGTCCCCAGTAGGGGGCATTTGAGGGGCAACCACACATTGATGTTTCACTCTCTGTCTTTCTCCCTCCCTGCCCCTTTGTCTAAAAATAAATAAATAAATAATAAAAATAATAATAGGTACAATGTACCAAGTGACCACCGTGTGCTTAGTACTTTGCAATATCACTGCTAATCCTTGTACAAATCTTAAGAGATAAATATTTTCTCAATTCTATAGATGAGAAAACTGACACTCTCATATGTCAACAAACTTGCCCCCGGTTATGCCTTTGGTGAGTGACTAAATCAGAATTTATTAAACCCGAAATCTCTCTAATACCAAATCCTATACTCTTCTCATTGAAACACAAGCCTCTTCCTCTTTCCCCTGATGCATTACAGTCTAGAACTAGAACCAGGACTGGAAAAACTGTGAGGCTCACCACAACTTCTCACCTGAATTAATGAATGGGACTTTGCATGACATAAAGAAAGGAACACTCTGAAAAGAAGGTGGCGATCTGATTTCCCCTTCCACTCCTAGAAGCTGAAATGACCATGAACAAGTTACTTACTCTCCTGGGCCTCACATGTGAAATGGAAACACTCATCTGTATTGCTGCTGTTAGCAAACAGGACACCCAGCAGCCTACAGAACACAAAGCAGTATGCGAGGACCCTGTGTTCACGCTGTGGCTGTCTTCAAACCTGACCTTTCCCTCTCTGATGTCACACAAGGCATTGTCCCAAGCTTATCTTATTCTTACTCTTCACTTCATGGGGAAAAAAAAAAAAGAATAGCTCTTTAACCTGAATCCACCAAGCAACCTTTGTTTTTCTCTGTGTCTTCCAAACTTACCTAAGAAATAATATCTAAGGAACAATCCCTGTGACTGTGCCCTGAAGGGAGAGAGCTAGGGGACCCCTTCCGTTTGAAGTAAACGTGGTGAGAGGGCCTTTCAGAGACTTGCCCCCAGACTCTGCTGCTCCACACAAAGATGGTCCACACGTGGCTATTGGTAGACATTTTGTTCCAGGTGAAGGGAAAAGGGATGCAGAGGCAGGCCAGAGAAGTTCCTGTGTCAAGGTAGGCCCAGACCCTTCATTACCTTCAAATCACCTCAAACCAACAGCTACCTACCTCACAAAGTCCCTGCTGGAGATGTTTTTCAGGGTGTTTATTGGACAACCTCTAAATATGCAGTCTTTCAGTACAGTTGTTTACCCAAACACTGAGGCTTATTAACGGTTCTTTAATCCAAGGGCAGAGAGGAGCAGACAGCTGATCCAAGACACTATCTGATGCCAAGTGGCCACTGGCCTGGCTGACATTTCTTCCACATACCATACACCTCACTACTTGGCCACACAGCTAGGAAAATTAATCGTCTGGCCTACACTCCCTGTGTCTGATGGCTGCAATGATGCTGCTTGGCTGAGAGGTGCATATTTTTATTTCTCATCTAGACACAGTGTCTAGGGAAAGAAATTAGTCCAAAGTAATGGAATTGAAAAATGTGGCCAACAAGAACCCCATCAAGATGGAATGGAAAAGAAATAAACAGAAAGGAATGGTGTGTCCTGTAATTGGACAGAAAGGAAAGATGGGCACACAATGCCTTACCGTAGCAGGGATGTCCAACCTGCAGCCCAACACAAAATCATAAATTTACTTAAAACATTATGAGATTTTGTGTGTGTGTGATTATGTGTCGCAAAGTATTTAATGTGTGGCCCAATATACCTCTTCTTCTTCCAGTGTGGCACAGACACAAAAATGGTTGGACACCCCTGCCTCAGCAAGGCACACAAGAATGGAGACAAGTATGGTCATTTTTGACTGAAAGAATCTTGAGTTCAAGCACCACATAGAATTCTTCCAGAAAATAAAGTTGTGGGATGGTCTAATTTAATGTTTCCTTAAAAATAAACAAAAAACATTGTATGTAGTTTCTCAAAGATGCTCATTCATTTCTCCAAATATTAAGTTAAAACCATGCCATAAAGCACATTTTTCCTTGGCTTTGCAGCAAAAGTTGGAAAGAGCATTTATTTGTTAGATGGCGAATGTGTGAAGATTTTGTTTTCAATGAAATTACCCATCTGTTGTTCTGCGAATTTTTCACAGAGCTTTCTGAAGAAATAGCTAAATCACCGTCTCCAAACCAAGCCAATGGAGAGCTTGAATCCTAAACCTACCTTTAAGCAATGTTGTAAACATGAGAAATTTACAATCCAAGATAACTGTCTTATTTATTTAAAAAAAAAAAAAGAATAAAAACAAACCAAAATTACCCACCTCTGAAATAAACTCTTCTACAAGGCTCTGGTGGTGGAAGCTAGAGGGATCCTGCAGTTCTTCCCTGTATGGCTCTCCCAAAAGGTGGATACTGAATTCTGCAATCTGCTCAGCTGCTGGTTTTGTAGACTCTTCTATCATAGTCTCAATTTCATTGCTAATCTGAATTTTTAGGGAAAGAATAATAAATGTTAATGTTTACTTATTTAGTCAACAAATATATATTGATTGCATACTACATACCAGATACTATGCCAAAGGCAATTTCTGATGATGATCTTTCATATAGTGTTTGACTTCAGTACTAATTGGGGGGACTTGAGGATATAGGTTAATATTAAAATTATGGTGCATTTGTACATTCCTTTGAACACACAATGATCAGTTCAGGGAAAGAGAAAATTTTTCAAAGATAACCACTGAATTTGACCATTTGTGAGTTAAAACGGAGTTGACCATGCTAAAATTATCATCTAAAAATAGCCAGAACCATGGTTCTCATCATTGTTTATATTTTTACAAATCCTTTAATGTATGGCTTAATGGATGACAGCTGGGTTCTCAAATCTGCTTCTGCATTAATCAGTTGCACTATGTTGTTGTAGTTTGAGTATGTGAAGAAAATCCAGCCATACAGAAGAAAGGGGAAGAAAGGAATATATTAATAGCCTTTTCAGGTAACTGGATTTCTTTTTAGGTCCCACACCAAGCTCAACAGGAACAGGTGGTAGTTTCTTAACGGTTTGCTGCCACGTGGAATCTGAAACCACATCAGCAAATTTTTGTACTGTGTATTATTAGAATCCAGGTCTTCCAGCAACCAAAGCTGGCATAATGAGAGCAACAAAATGAATACTGAATTATAATCCAAAGAATAAAATAAACATTCATGCATCTGTACTAATATGATTTAATAAATAAATGTATGAGAAGTGACACTAGTTCCTTATGAAAGAATTCCAATTAATAAATGCAGAAGGAATGAAGGAAATAGAATATTGCTACTAAAACATACAGTAATAACTGCTGCACGCAAGATACACTTGAGCTCATCTAATCCAGGTTCCTCCATTTTGATACACAAGAAATCGAGGGATCGGAATCAAAGTATGGCTAGTCTATGGGCTCACCGCAAGCCAATGGCAGATTCAGGAGGAGAACACAAAGATTTTTTTTGCTGTGTTTCATCCCTGATGGATCACATATCAGCAACTTCCAAAACTTTAGGAGATCCCACCATCACTTCTGGCGCTTGAACTATCTCCACGATATCCCTGACAAACTGCTTCTCGTCCCCAATTTAAAATGGCTCCGATGAGAAAGAGTCATGACTTTCAAAAGGAGACCATTACATTTCCAGAAAAGCTCTCATGGTTGGAAGGTTTTAAATATTAAACACAAACATATTTCCCTGTTACTGTTACCATTGATCCCGGTTCTGTAAACTGGGACAGTTAAAAAACAATGTAGTCACCAGAGAGCCCTTCAAATAAGCACCGGCAGCTCTCATGTCTTCCCTGACTTTCCACTAGTTCGTCTCCTCCAGACACTGCTCAGGATTTTAATGTCTTCTTTGAGTGTGATGAGTTTACTGGACTGGCCACAAATGAGGGCTGACCCACTAAACCGTGGGAGGACTACCACCACCCTTATGAAAGATCCTCTATTTGTATTATGCAATCCAAAATCACACCAGCTTTTTTACTAGGTGTTTTTCCCCCAGTAACTGCATCATATTTCTGGTTTATACTGAGAGTAACCCCAACAAAAACTCTTGGTTTTTGCACCAAGAATTCTAGAAGTCTAGAATTCTGCACAAGACTCTACATTTTTCCATGTTAAATTTTACCTCACTAGATTTGAACAGAAACTTCCAATTCCAGTATTATTTTTTAAAGAAATGTGTTTAGTAATCTTACTGCCACAGAATGCCTAAAAAGGTGAATAAATATTTTTTAATGGTTTTAATGTATAGTTCATTCCCAAGAAAGAAAACCTCAAGGGGTCAAGAAAAATTAGAAGAATCCAGAGAGGTGATTTAGTGTTGTATGTGTACATGGTATATCTGCTGATCTCTTAAGACCTAGGCTTGTTTTAATTTTTACCACAAAGGGATAGGATTCAAAGTGGAAGGTCTGTACATGTTCAGTATCAGATCAATAAAGCAAGGATTCTAAAAACTCAATAGGCAGTTTGAAACAAATTAGTCTACGTTGAAGAAAGCCTTAATGAACTGAAAGACATACTTGAATGCAATACAGAAAGACAAAGAAATTAAAGTTATTAAAGAGTAATTAACAAACGAACATAAAATGAGAAAGACATATGTAATCATAGGAGATAACAGCCAAGAATTTCTTTTATTGCCACTTTTGTGAAACTGCACAACCCCAAATACTGTATAATATTTCACATATATACAATATATGGGATATACAGTATTTGGGATTCTGCAGGTTCACAAAAATGGGTTAGAGGAGTGTACTAGTGTGTATATTTTTCTTTGGATTGTTGTATTTCCTTAATCTGAGGTTTTACATCTATCATAAATTCTGAGAACTTCTCAGCTGTTATCTCTTGTGATGATAGATAGAGAGGTACATTTTAAAAGTAGACAAAGAATACTTATAAAAGGGGGGACTCCTTTCAAAGTGATCACAATGTCTTGAAACTAAAGAGCCCCCATGCAGTTAACTTTGCTTATGATGTGAAGTTCATTGTGTGTGTGCACACTTAAGTTTACTGCATCATAAACTATGTACAGTTATTCCATTAATGCATATTTTACTTTTTAAAATAATCCTTTTTGGTGTCTATAGAGTCTCAAGTTAAAAAATTCCTTGTGTAGGAATTGCATTTGTTTGTATGTGCCTTTAAGTAATCTGGAATATTTCACAAGAACATAGCAAAAGCAGTTGCCTGGTAGGATGTGGGGAAGGGGTAGTATAGTGAGTGGAAACTGGGGAGATGGCAGAATTAAATATGTGACTTTTCACCTTATAATATTTGTTATTTTTTGACACATGTGAATGTAATATCTCTGAAAAAAATAAGCAAAAAATAAAATGACTTCAAAAAAAGTGGACAAAAACAACCAGAATAACAACTAAACCAATAGGTGAGTTCCCAGTAGCAACAATAAACGTTAGAAAATAATGAAGTAAACCTTGACAAAAAAAGACCTAAAAAACCCTCAATCTAGAATTTCATACAGACTTAAAATATTTTTCTAGAATACGGGGATAATGAAGATATTATTAGGTGATCAAAAACTGAGACTGAACCAGTGAGAGACTCTCACTAAAGTAATATCAGGAATATATATTTCATAAAGAAAGCTAGCTTTGAAGAGAAGTCTAAAATCAAAAAAATCAAAAAGATTTTTAAGAAAATAAAATGATAAACAGCATTTATCAGTTTACATAAGTGTAAAATAAACTTTCACTGTATAAAACAAATATAGTACAGTCTAATTTGTGGAAGTAAAAATAAAGAAAACTGAAATAGAGGAAAATAACAAAAATACTGAAAAACAGAATATAAATCAGGAGGGTGGTCATTTGAATTACAGTGTTCTAATGTTCCCATATTGCCCAGGATAAGGATAAAGATTTTAAAACATTAAAATTTTGCTAAATTAAATATACTTTATAACATATAGTATAACTACAAACAAAATAGAAATAAAATATATGATTTCTAAAATGGTAGATGGAAAAATATAGTAGGAAAAACTGAAATGTAAAAATTGTATTTTGGCCTTTATTTTGAACTAATTCTTAATTTTGAACTAGGCAACCTAATTTTTATTAGGTATCTCTATAGTGTTTTGTTCTATAAATCTATAAATTGGCTTCAAATCATCCTTTCTGTTTTGGATATTAATGGTCCAACTGATTACACATAATTTCTTCATTTCCACTACAGTCAATCTGATCTCATTCTATAACTATTTCCAGAACTAAATCATAATTATTCTGCCTCAAGTTCAGAAGTACAATATCACTTTTATTCACTCATTTATTCACAAATATTTATCAAATGGTGGTATTTTTAGAACCATGAACTTTGGACACAGTGGTACTGACGGTGAAAGTACTGATTTGGGCATAAATGGAAATCCCAAGCTACTACCAGCCTTGTTCAGTTATAGGGAGGGTGGTGGGGCAGAGCGATTGACTTATTTTATTTCACATAAGTTAAAATGTTCTGGTTTGGGAAGAGAAAGTGCCAGGTAAATAAATTGCACCTCTTTTAGTGAATACATTCAGAGTTTGCTATATATTAAGTAATCAAGGATTTATGAACCTCAAAATTTTAACAAAATTTCTTACAAAATGTTTCTCTCTTCCTGGGCATGTGTATTTTTTAAAAATCTGAATGTGATAGAGAATCAACTTAATGTTGTATAGCGGCCAGGCTACTATTAATGATATATTTGAAAAGCATGGTGCTTCTTGATTTTTAAACTACATGAAATCTATACCCTTTCGCACTGAAGAAGAGGAAGCTAATCCATTTAGGGATAGAATAATGTAGGCAAAAATCCTCACAGTAAATTATGTCACATGGCCCACAAGGGACAGTGAGTGGGACTACCATAATGAGAGCTCCCGAGATCTCAGGTCATTTCATTTACAATCTGAAGCCCTTCCTCACCCAAAGCTTGGGTCTCCAATGAATATCAGGTTCTTTTTAATGTACTGGTTTCAGAATCCAAAACATTTCCGTAAGGGAACCACAGACAGTCTTATGTGCTCTTGCAATGGAATAATAATCTCTCTTAATCCTATACTCCATGTTAGGAACTAAATAAAACAGTGTCACTCACACTCTCCTCCAGCCTCTCCAAGCTGCCCTCTGAGGTACCTTCATAAGAAGTCACCCCTGGATGTGGAACACTGAGGACAGCACCTAAGTAGAAAAAGAAAAACATGAGTATGAATCCAGTCCCTGAATAAATCAGAATTCACATCAGAAACTAAGGAACAGAGTACAGAACCATTCCATAAAGCAGTTGCTTTTTCATTCTGGAAATTCTATGCATTCTAACCCTAAGACACATTTGCATAGCGTCTTCCCAGAATAAGAATTATGATTCACTCATTCATCCAACAAGCATTTACTGAACACCCAGTATATGTCAAACTTTATGCAAGACACCAGGGATACTGGCAAAGTTTCTACCCTCAAAGCATTCTCTAGTAAAGGGGACAAATATTGAATTAAGTAACACTTCCAGAGAGCGGAAGTGGGCAAAGGTTGGAGACTGATCATGAATCGATCATTGTTGAAGTTGGGCCTCATTGTGCTATTCTATTTGTACATATGTTTTGAAATTTCCAATAAAGGGAAGCTTTTAAAAAATAGGTAATAAGGAAAGCAACTAACAACTTACAGGAAATAGAGAAGTCAAAGGAACATGCTAAAGCACACAGAATGCAAGCAGAAAAATCCTTACTCTGGGAAACTCTACAAGACAAATGACAAACGGGAAACCTGGAGAGGTTCTACCTATTGACATGAGCAGTGATTACGCAGTGTTTGCCTTACAATATTCTTTAGATTGTACATCTGTTTTAAGCAATTTTCTGATTTGTACCATACTCAAAAATTAAAGATTTTTAAGTACCCATAGCATAATGCCATAAATTTTTTAAAAAATTACTTTTCCTTGAGGCTCTTAAATAACATATATGGTGAGAGAAATACAGTACTTTTCAAATGTGAGCTGAAAAATAATTGCTAGCAAGACTGTGTTAAACCATAAATAATTTCAAAAGAAAAGTACATAAAGGCACAAAAACATACCTCCTAATGTTGAAGTATCACCAACAGGAACTAAAGATGACTGTTCAGGGCTAGGAAAAAAAAATGTTTGGTGTTAACAAGATGACAGTAATGTGAGGGTTTACTTGCTTTTCTCCAAAAAGGAATTCAATAAATCTTCATAATTTATTTATTTACTTTTATTGATTCCTACAAAACCAGAATCACACTATACAAAGTACTCCCATACTTACTATATTATTCCCCCTGTTTTATTTCTTCTTAAATTTATTAATATGTGAAATTACTTTCTTCATTTATCTACTTCTTTCTCTGTCTCCAACCCCTTAAACCTCTCGAACGACATTGTCTAATATGGTAGTCACTGTACATATATGGCAATTTAAGTTAACTAAAATTAAATAAAGTTTAAAATTCAGTTCCTCAATCGCACTAGTCACATTTCAAGTGCTCAGTAGTCACATGTGACTAACGGCTGCCACATTAAACAGCACAGGAAAGAATATTTCCACAACCACGGGGAACAATGCTGAATGGGGCTGCCATAAGAATCTAAACTCCATTAGACCAAGGACTTTGCCAGCCCTGTTCTTGCTGTTTCTCCAGACTAAATAGTACCTGCTACTCAGCAGACATTACTTAGATATTTTTGAATGAATAAATAAATAAATACTATTGACAAAGCAGTATAGAAGACATGTGTCATACAGTTGTGAACAAAACACCCATGGTCTCTGAAAGTTACAGTCTTACAGGAAATAGGCACCAAATAAATGATTATAAATACAACAAATAGTACAGACTGGAAAATACTGGCTTCTAAGGGGAACATAAGCACAAATCTCATCTAATTTGAGAGATCATAAAAATCATAAAAATGTTTCATATAAAAAAGTCAAGCTCAGAGAAATGACTTGCTGTAGGCCCCATTGCCAGGACCTCAGGTCTCCCAGCTGTCCTTTAACCGCACGACTGCAAGCGAAGACCACCAGGAAATAATCTGAGAAAGTCCTCACTTTAAAGGAAAGAAAGTGGGTTTTTGCAACTCCAAATTTCCACATACTCAAAAAATATGAAAATAAAATTATAGTAATTTGGGGGAGTTTTAGAACTTCAAAGTTCATGTACCTGTCCTGAGCGGAATAGGCTCCTCCATTACTCTTTTTCGAAGGAGCTGGATTGTGATGACACCAGCTTTCAACTCACAGCCATTGAAACTCTTCAACTTTACACAAGTCAGCCTCCTAAGGTGATTCAATCACAGTCAAAAATGTTTCCCCACAGACTTGCCAGTGGCAGTGAGTCCCATCTTCAGAACAATTCCTTTAGGTTGCCCTACTGCTCTAAATTAGCTCACTGAGTGAAGCGGCCTCAAAGCCACCAGATAAACATGGCACACATCTTTTTTTAATCCTCACCTCCCCTGAGGACATGCTTGTTGATTTTAGAGAGAAGGGAGGGGAGGGGAGACAGAAACATCAATGTGAGAGAGAAACATTGATCACTGATGTGATTGATCTTGCACAAGCCCTGACCAAGGACCAAACCTACAACCTAGGCTCATGCCTTGACAAGGAATCAAACCAATGATCTTTTGGCTTAGGCAACAACACTCACGCTGAGTGTTGGCAACTGAGCCATACCGGCCAGGTACACATACCATGGCACACAACATGAAGCAGCAATTTTACTTGAAGCAAAGGCAGTTGGGGAGCTAAATAACAACTGATACGTAATTTAAAATATTTTAATATTTTTTTAAATGTGGCCATATTATGGATAGTACATAAAGCTTAAATGAATGTTAAGATAAAACATGATAATTCAAAGACATGACATGCCTGGAACTGGAGCAGGGGGAGTCAACTAAGGCTATGATCCCTAAACCTCCAGGCTTCGGTAGAAAATTTGAGAAATACAGGTTTGTTTGTTTTGTTTTTAAATCTTAGCGTAACCATTCTTCCTGTTTTTAAAAATGCAGTTGTAACAGGGAATAAAAACTTTGTATTACTCTGACTTGCCATGAAATGAAATTAGAGTAAGTTATACTAACAAACTGATAAAAAGAACTCACATACAGTAGTTTCTTTGTAAGCATACTGTGCCAGCCATTCCACTTCCTGCTGGTACAATAAACAGCCGTGACCAGGACTTCAGGTGACACAGATCACCCAGCTGCAGGGATCTGGCTGCCACTGACCAGCTCCACGATGCTACCATTAAAGATCCATATGAGGACCAGCAAGGACACTGCCTGCACGACCCCAGCGTCTCTCCTGATCTCCTTCTTCTCCTTGTCCCTCTCCGTCCTTACAAAACCGCCTGCCTGCACTGACATGTGGAGATGGGCTTTGTGACTAGGCTCCCCAACTTCCAGGTTGCTGGCACCTGAATAAAACCACTTTCCTTTACATGAGCACCTGCCTTCTCCAGTATTAGCTTTCAAAGCTGCAGGCAGCCATCTCTGCATTAGGTTACACTGTCTAAAAAAATAACATACAGCATCCAGCAGAAGTAAGGCCTGCTTGAGTGTGGCTGGTAAGGTATGTGAATGTCTTGCATGAAATGGACAGCAATTTGAATATTTCACCTAAAATGTCATATAGTGTACTTGAGTGTGATATTGTACAGAACAAAGATGCAAGGAAAATAAGACCAGCAACACTGAAAGGAAAAGAAATCAACAGAGACAAGAGGGAAGGAGGGGGGAGCGGGGAAAAGGACGGGAGGGGGAAAGTCAAGGAACATATACCAAAGACTCATGGACAAAACCAAAGGGGAAGAGCTGAGGGAGGGAAGGAGGGAGGGAAGGAGGAAGGGGGCAAGGGAAAGTGGTGCGGGGGAGGCAGAGACAAATGTATTTGAAAAAATAAATGTAAAAGAAAAAAGATTTTGTAATAAAAAAAAGGGGGGCGTTATTTGTGCCAGACCCTTTATTAAACCATTACACCAAACCTATCACACTGTAGGTTATTCAAGTGTATTTGTAGGAAAGTGTAACTAAGTGAACGATCATGTAGAAGAACCTAAAAAAATACAACATCAGGATAAGTCATTACAATGTGTGATGAGCAGAGGAAGGCTGGGTGCTGAGGAAGCATCAAGAGGCCTCTTGGGGCACAGGAAGCAGAGCTAACAAAATGGGACTCAAATGCATTTGAAACAGACATTAACATAATCAGGCCTGAACATGGTCTATCAATTGTCCACAAGGCAGAATCCCTTCCTACATCCTCATTTGTTAAATTGAAAACTGAGGCCCAGATGGGTAAAGCCATTTTCCCAGGGTCACACAATATTGCAATGTAACTCAAAGTTCTACCTAAAATTCCTAACTGTATCCCATTCCTTTTTCAATAATAATAACAGGAAGAATGATTACAACTAAATGTATTAAGCCCTGTTACACGTCAGGCACTGTGCTAAGTAGTTTATCTTAGTTAACTCAAAACAATCTTAAGAGGAAAATACTGTTATCACCACATATACAAACGAGGAAACTAATGCTTCACATGGTTAAGAATTTGCCGCTGGTCACAGTTGACTGATGGAAGAGCTGTAATGTAAAATAGGCCTGTTGATTTCAGAAAACTCACTCTTACCTACCTTAACTCCTCACAACATGGCCTTTTTGTGACCTGTAGTCAGTCTCTAGAAGGGCAGCTAATCTGTTTCACCTTATCTTAATGAGAGTGGCCTACATAAAGAAAACAACCTAAAAGTCAAAGTGTACAAGGTCACAGAAAAAGGAAGGGAAACCCAGTCAGAGTTGGAGAGCTATGGAGAGCAATCAGGTACTAAGAACAAAGAGGTCAAAGTAATACAAAGTGTCCGAGCACAGCACAGTAACTAGAACAGGAGGCTGGGACAACAACAGAGAAACCAGACATCACCTGGAGTTGAGAGAAGTGTCCCCTACATCAAAATCAAATTCATGCTAATTCTCTAAGTAAGCAATCACAATGGAGAATTTTGCTTACATCAGCAACATTGGATTTCACTCACTGAATTCAAAATAACATTATTTTAATGATGGTAAGTAGGCAACTCTCAGTAATTCAAATCACTTGCCTAACACTCCAACACCTAATACCTCAGCCCTCCCACTGTCTTGTCAAAAGACAGTGAAGAACACTTAACAACAAGAATCCTTTCACATATTCTTATTAAGTAGGCCTCCTGCAGGGATCCCCTAAGATGTCACTCACAGGGAACTAAAACATAGAGTGGGGTTGAGTTTCAAGACAGAAATGCTACTTCCCTTCTAGGCCAAACCACAATTTGAAGTTATTCAGCTAAGACCTTTAGTTTAATACCTGAAGCAAACAACCCCCTACGGTTTTGTTTCCTCAGCTCATCCAGCACATAATTCATTCCTCACTACTACAGCCCAATCATGTCAACGGAATTCAGATGGGATTGCGTCAGAAAATATCACAGCCACATGCAGCAGAAGTTTAAAAATATAGTGGGCGTTGGTCAAGTAGCCCATTTGGTTAGAGGGTCATCCCGATACACCAAGGTTGTGGATTCAATCCGCAGTCAAGGTACATACAAGAATCAACCAACGAATGCATAATAAGTGAACTAAAAATTGATAGTGTGCCCTTGCTCGCTCTCTCCCCCCCCTTTCCTCTCTCTAAAATCAATAAGTAAATTTTTAAAAAAATAGTGAAAACATAACCTCCTGTCTAGATTACTAACCCCCTTGACAATTTTATATGCTTTGCTTTGCTTTGCTCTTAACTCTGGTCATTGTAATCAGCATGTGACAACAAAGGAACTCTAGCCAGGAATCCTGGGTGCTAGTCCCAGATGTATTATTAACTTTATATATGAGGAAAAATATCTCACTTGGTCTGGGCCTCAAAAACCTAATCTCCAAAAGAGAACTACCTCCCTGCCCTGCCTATTCCACAAAGGTATTGATGAAAACTAAACAAAATATTATGAGCAGAAGTATTATGAACTGTATGAAATGCTAAACAAATCTAGGAGAAAACAGGGTTTACTGAAGTAGTGACACATGTCATCCAACACAGGATTTTTTAGGATGTATATTTGTCTTTGTGATCTATGATAGGCACCCTGAACTACAAACGGAAATTAACTGAGGTACAAAAAAAACAAAAACCACAAAAACAAAAAAACAAATCCCAAAGAACAGTCCTTACACTGAGACTATCACCAGAGGCCATCACAGACTTGGGTGGCTGGGCAGGAATTCATTTAAATCATTTAACAAATATTTAATGAGCACATAGTGTAAGCCAAGCTTTATACTGGTTATTGAGGGCACAACAGTAAGAGCAGATAGGAGAGGTTAAGCAGCAACTGGAGCTAAGTGGAGATGCTTTCAAGATGTCTGGCTGTAATGGAGACAAGTGTTGGAGGAAAAGCCATTTGTACATAGGTAACATGGGAGAGACTTAAGCATGTTAAATGCTAATGGGAACAAGTTACTAATAGGACAAATTGAAGACACAGGAGAAGGAGAGAAACAATGACAGGCAGAGATTTCTAAAAGATAAGATTGGATGCAATGTCCTGAGTAAGGTAGGAAATTTTGGGGGTTTTTTCTTGTTTTCTAGGAGAGTTAGCAGATGACAGAAGGAACTTAAAACAGCACAGAGTGGAGTATTTGGTGTTAAATCCTAAAACAGCAGATGGGTAAGAAGTCCCATAGAAAAAGCAATTTAGATTACAGGGGAGAACTGGGGTAGGCAGAACAGTGGCCTCCCAAACACATCCAAAGCCTAATCCCCAGAACAGGTGAATGATGTTATTCACAGGGAAATTATGGTTGAAATTAAGGTTGCTAACCAGCTGGCCTTAAAGTAGGGAAAATATCCTGGTTTATACAGGTGGGTCCATGTAATCACAAGAAGCCCTAAATGCGGAGGAGGGAGGCAGAAGAGGGTCTGAGTGATGGAACGTGGAAAAGGCTCGCCCGGCCATTGCCGGCTTTGAAGATGGAAGGGGGCCTGGAGCCAACCAATGTGACCGGCCTCTAGAAGATGGAGAAGGCAAGAAAGCAGGTTCTTCCATAGAGCCTCCAGAAAGGAGCATGGACGTGCTAATACCTTAAGGCCTGTGTCAGATTTTTAAACTATTGAACTATAAGATAAATTTGTTGTTTTAAACTACCAAAGTTTGTGGTAATTTTTTACAGCGGTGATAGAAAACTAATACAAGAGTCTCTTAACAAAGAGAATATGAGAATGATCTCCAAAAATCATAAAAATAAATCTAAGTACTAAGAAATGATATGCAAACTAAGAGTTTTTAAGGGATCACAATGGTACTCGGGTTAAAGAAAGATGGGCTTAGTGAATTCTTAGACCTCCCCTGTTTCACCCCCAGTGTTACCTAATTTCAGGTCATCCTAGTTCAGCAACTACACCAGTGGGCAGCTTCCACCTTAACCCAACCTGTTCTGCTTTAGTTGCATGGGAAGTATACAAACTTTTAAATTCTCAGATTTTAATTATATATATATATTTTTTTTTAATCATATGACATAGAATCTTTTGTAGCTGGTGCCTGATGTCTTTTACCTAACATAATGCTTTTGAGGTTCACTGTGTTAACAGTCACACAAAGTGCATGTATCAGTCATTCATTCCTTTTTTTATTGTTGAAGAGTACTCTTTCATGAAAAAATTCAGTTACGGTTTAGTTCATAAGTACTGTTAATTTTACATATGCCTTATTTTCTAAGGATAGTGAACAACATTTTGAGTCCCCTCTTTTACTCGTACAGACAGTGCTTCGTCAATAAAAATACATGATATGGTCAGTTTTGCAATGATGCTGATTTGTGAATGTGTTCCAATGTGATTAATATACTAGAAAATAACTGAGCATAATGCAGGTTTCTCCTTTATGTATACACAATTTCACCGCAAGGGACACTGGTGAATGCATAAAAAGGCACCCAGTTAAAGTGAGCCACACAGAAATATACAACACACATGCACGCTGCACCCTAAACACCTCCCAGCCAGCTCAGTTCACTCCACGCGCTATGAGCCACACACGTCCTCCAACAGCATCACAGCTTTTCATCCTATTTCCGATAACCCTCCCTCCACCATTGTATAATAACCCACAGGCTACAATCTTTCCAGCGTCCACTTCCACAGGCAAACTTCAGAGCTTCTTCCAGGTTAAAAGCCATATTTACTTAGCATTTATGGACTTCTTACCAGATAAGATCTGTAAAATGAGCTATCATTTTCACCAGGTACAAACATGAAGATCCCTGGCCCTCGCAGGGCTCACCGGATTATTTAGCCCCCCACCTGTGTGTTGCAATAGCAACCACAAGGGGGCTCAGAGCTCTGCCTCTCACTGGTGACGATTTCACACTCAAAAAAACTACATGGCCCCACACCTAACTAGGTGCTCAGTCTCAGGCCCCAGCCTAGACCCAGTAACAATATTGGCTTTATGAATAAGTGAGACCACCGAGAGGCCTGTTTCCCTCCTATTTACTCGTGTTCGATTTGAAACATACATATACCACGCCACCACCCACACGTATACCCCAACCAGGCTTTTGCCTGGACTCTGCCCAGGCAGGATCTCTGGACACTGACTTGCCTGCTTGGTTTTTCAATGTTCTTCCCTGTAATTTGAGGCAGAGTTCTGGACCCCCACCTGGATTTCATGCCCTAGCAGTGCTTTTCTAAATAATCACCCATATGCTGGCATAACCTAGATATTCTGAGTATGGAGAGAACTGGTAATCTTTAGCCCCTGCAGGCTCAAAATCTCTCACCTTCTATGATCTATTTGTTCTGATACTGCCCAGGAGCCAGAAATGACCCTACTCTGAAACCTACAGGGCAATGAGGCCAAGCCTAACACTGGAGGATTGATTCATCAAGATTGTGCTATTCCTAGACTTTAAAATCATAATTATCATTCCTCAGTAAAGTGACCCACACCACCACCCATCATTTAGTAAACTATCCTCCACTAAGGGGTAGCATTTCAGAGCAAGGTTATCATTAGCCTGTAAGCCTTGACAATAGCAGATCATTCCATACTCCATTTCCTGAAACCTAATTTCTCACCCAAGAGACAGGAATAAGTCTACCTCCTAGTGAGGTGAGACAGTAAACAAGCACAGTGGCTGTGGTGGTGGTCTGGAAAGGGAGTGGCCTCAGATGAGGAAAAGCATTTGGACTCACCCACAGGCTTGGTCATTGCAGGAACTGGCAAGAAAATAGAAAGGGAGCATTAAATTTGGGGTGAGTCTTGGAGTAGGTATGATACATTTCTGTGGCCAAATATGAACTTAGGGAAAAAAAGACACTTACCCACTCACAGTTTCCTTTGTGTATGCTAGTTTCTAAGGAAAACAAAGATAATGATTTTTTAAAAAAAGAGAGAGACTGCGAGTTAATGACAGTTAATAAGCTGTAAATATTATAAAACTGATTGCATAGAGAACACTAATGCCCTAACATTATAGAATCTATGTTATTATCTCTATAGTTAGACAAATAGGTAAAGCAAAGTGCTAATGATGCCAAGTTTGTTTTGCGACTGTGAGAACATCCCGACATGTAATCTCTGTTTATGTGCCCAAAAGTTCCCGTGCTCTCTTTCAATGGGCAGAGATTAATAGACAGTACCTGCTAATCACTCCAAAATAGTCTACCAGTTAGAGATTGGGAGTTTCACATTAACCTTCCATGAACTTATAATCAAAGTATTTTGTGATGTAACATATTTATAGTAACTCTCATCCTAGAATAACATAAACATGTAGATGAAATAACTGACAAATCTGCTTCTCCAAAATTCAGACAAAAAGACAAATTGTATCAATTATTGGCTTATGCCTGTCACATTCCAAAGCAAATTGTCTCCAAATTTCCTCTAAATTAGTCATTTTCTGTTGAGACCAGTATGATATAAAGAACACTAGTAACCAGGAGTCAGAAGACCTAGTTCCAAGTCCCATAGAGGCAAATCCCCAAATCTCTCTGGTGCTAGGCCTCAATTTCCTCATCTGTAAAATGGAGAGACTATTATACCAAACAACTCATTGTTCTTCTTACTCTACAGATTCTCCTAGAATAATCTAAGCCACTCTCATGGTTATAATTACCACCTCAAGGCTGGTGATTCTGGTCACTATTTATAACCACTCTCCATATCTTTATACCTGAACATCAAGCAATTCGTATTTCACAGATAGCTCAGATCAACACATTCAAAAGTGGACTTATTCTCCTTCCATTCACCATCTACAAAGCTGCTTCCTTTCCGAGTTCTCGGTTTCAGTCATCCAAGCTAGAAACCGAGAGCGTTCCTGGGCTACTTCTTCATCCTATCCCACTCTCACCAATACTTGACTTTAATCCGGGCAAGACTAGACATGACTAATCTCGTTCCCCACTTACGTTTCGCATGCTCTCTTTATCTATTTCATGGCCTAGGTAGGACCCTCACCACCTCGGGCCTGGAGCGCTGAAGCAGCATCCAACCTGGTCCCTGCTCTAGTCTTGTCCCCTCTATTCCACCCTATGGTGTATAGAAACCATAATGATCTTTTTAAAATTGAAAACTATCAGCCCTGTGACTCATCTAGTTAAAACCCTTCAGTGGTTTCCTATTTTCTAGAGAGTTAAACACAAACTTGTTAAGTTAGCCATTTTTCCAGTCTGATCTCCTTCCATTTCCAGTACACTGGCCCAAGTCATTCCCTACAAACACTTGGCTCCTGTTGTCCCCTCTGCCTAGAATGTCATCCCAAACTCCTCCTCTTCTAGCTAATTTGTATTCGTTGTTTAAGATGCAATCCAGGTAACACATTACACCTTTGTCTGAATGTTCTACTAAGTAATTACTGAAAGTATGTTTTCTATGCCTTTAAAACTAAAGTTACTAAAATTTCCACTTGTAAGAAACAGTACTTCAGGCAGAAGCTTACACTGAACTGCCTGCACTATGTCCCTGCCATCTGAACCAGCCCTTATAAAGGAGTTCCTAGAATCCTATTTCAACCAGTAGCACTGAGGCTTTCCCCACCCAATCAGAACTGCACAGCTGCATCCCCTTCAATTTCTTCACCTACCAATCAGAGCAGCTCCATTCTGACCAATCAGGACAGTGCCTTTTAGGCCAATCTAACTGCAAAAGGATTTGGTGTCCTCATTTGCATGAGGACAAACCAATCAGGGACCAGGGGCAGGGACTTCCGTCTACATAAGTCAGCTCCCCTCTGGCTCTGGGAGCACACTTTCCTTTTCCACTGAAGACTGTGTATCCCCAGCTAAGCTGAAACAATGAAGGTATCTCGCTCAAGCAGAATGGAGCAGACCAGCGCAGGGCAAAGCAGACCAGCTTGGAGTAAAGCAGAGCAAACCAGTAAAGAGCAGAGCAGAGCTGTCTACCTGGAGAGGGGCCTGACCCCAGGGCCACCTGGCTCCAAGGCCAGCTCACAGCCATGCTGTTTTTACTGCTCTGTATCACAAAAATTGAGCTGTTTTACAGTGAATAAAGTTTCCTTCTTCACTGCACCCCAAATTGGGGATTCCTGCCTTGAATTCACACCAACGAAGACCATCAGTTGACACAATGTAACATCCCAAGAGGCTGTTGTTACCGTAGTAACTCCACATCATACATATTTGCTGCTGTACATTTGATCCTATATCAGGAACACAATGAAATAGACAGTGCTGATATGAATGTGTATGTGTGTGTTTCTTTCGCTGAACAGCCATTCCACGTTGGCCACTGCAGGGTGTAAAACTGGCAGTGATTGAGAAGGGAGGCCCAGCAGTTTCAGGAAAAAAAACATGGATTTTGAAAAAGAGAACTGGGTCTGGATTTCAGCTCCAGCCTATCTGGTTTTGTGACATAGGATAAGCAATTTAATAACTCTCAGAGGTTTATATTCTTAGCCTAAATCTTTGCTGAGTACTACTTCCAAATGTTGACATTTATAGAGAAGACTGAAGCTCTTATTGGATTAATAGTGTTTATTATAATGGCAAGCGCCAGGGCTGCAAACATGAGGCCATACCCTAAGGCAGCTCACTCGAAGAGCCTAATTCAACAAATGAGAGCAACGCAGGGGCTTGCCACGGGTCCTTTTTCCCTTTAGGCCCCAGCTCTATATACACACCCTGCCTATAGTTCAGCAATTCCTTTCCTTGCTACTACACTTACCTTCATAATTAAGCTTCTATGTTCCACAGACTGGCTGAAATTTGTGCCCATTTCAAATATAGTTGTGATTCCACCCTCACACAAATTCATCCAGTAATGATATTCCTCACGCCCAGGAAGTCGATCCCAAAAAGTCCTGAAGGCTTCCCAGACAGCTTCTTGACACACTGAAGAACAGACAGAGGGGTATTTTAATAAAAAATTAACACACTTTGGGGTTGTCACAATGATTGTGGGCCTATTTATGCAGCTTCCGGAGACACTCTTGCCCACAGTGTCCTTTCTGGAGGGGCATGGGAATGATTCCCAGCCAAAGCCCTTCTGTAGCTGCATGTCCTGCTGAAACTTTTCAGCTCTAAGGAGAATTTTTATTCCCCATTCCTTTCCCTTGCAAAAGGGATGGATTCACCTCTTAATAGGCAAGGGTTTTTTTCCATCTCTTGAAAAAAAAATCCACGTTTATGTTTTACAAAACTGGAGCTGATGTTGAGCGTACTTCAGTAGGTGAATGGATAAACAAACTGTGGTACATCCATATGATGAAATATTACTCAGCAATAAAAAGAAATGGGCTTTCAAGCCATGAAAAGACATGGAGAAGACTTAAATGCGTATTGAAAGTGAAAGAAGCCAATCTGAATGTATGATTCCAATTATATGACATTCTGGAAAAGGCAGAACTATGGAAATTGTAAATAGACCAGCAGTTGCCAGGGGTTGAGGGTAGGAAGAGACAACTAGATAGAGCACAGCAGATTTTTAGGGTAGTAAAACTATTCTATATAACAGTGTAATTGTGAATATATGTCATTAATCATTTGTCAAAGCCCATCTAAGGTACAATACAAAGAGTAAACCCTAATGTAAATTATGAACTTCAGTTAAGAGTAATGTGTCAATACTGGCTCATCAATTGTAACAAATGTGACATACTAATACAAGATGGGAATAAGAAGGGAAAATGTTGGGGCAGACTGGCAGTATAGGTAACTCCCTGCGCTTTCTGCTCAACATTTCTGTAAGCCTAAAACTTCCCTAAAAATAAAATCTATTAATTTAAAAAAGATATGAGAACTAAAAAGAACAGAAAAATGCTATTCAGGAAAAATGTCCTACAGTAGTCAAATAAAAACTAATTCAATCTATCTGCTAAGTTATTCCATAGCATGAAATCTGAAAGGATGCTCAACAGGCTACCTGCACATTTTGCATAGCACTGAATGTCTTGTTATACTATAACCATTTCAGTGGCCAGATACAGGACACTGGACAACAGATAGATTGGGATGGGAGAGAAGAAGGGAGTAATAAGAGAGAAAGAAGGGCATAAATGGACAGAGATCAAAGAAATTATTTTTCATCTCAAGAAAAACTGAATACTTATCTGGCCACATATTGAGGTAGAGCCCCTAAACTCACAGAACCAGATCTAAATTCTAGCCCTAGATTGGCCACATACTAGCTTGAAAACCATGAGTAAATTACTTAGCCAGTCAATGCATTGATATATTCATCTTTTTTAATGGTATAAATAATTACTGCCCTATTTACCTTATCTGTGAAAGTAATTGATACACTGCATAGTGCTACATGAATATCAGATGTTATTATAATATTGCATACTGGTTTTCTGACAGTTGTGTGATGCAAGAAGACCGTCTAAGACAAAAAATCAACTTTTTAAGCTTTAACAGAAAGTGAAATATTTACTTATCGTAGGTATCTCTATCAGCTGGTTTTTCAGGGTTAAACTGAAGCATGGGTCGCAAACTTAATTTCTCTTTCAGTGAAAACAGATCCTTATTACTGCTGTATAGAACTTTTGATCTGACAACATACAGAACAGTCCAACAGGGACTGACTGAGGAAGAGCTAATAACTTGTAGAGTCATAATTCTTCCTTTCTTCTTCTTAAAACTTCTAAGTGAAAATTTAGTAAACACCAGAAGGCAATGCAAAAATGAAAATCAGGATTGGTAAAAACAGGCAAAAAGTGAATGCCAATAACACCTGATTATAAAATGAGGTGATTCAGAGAAAGTACAAAAAACTACTATGAGACCAAATAACTGTATGTCTATAAAGAAAGAAAAAATAAATCTCAATAACTTCTTCACAATATGCAGAAAATATAATTTGAAATAAGAAAGCTAATACTACGAAGGTCCAAAAAGAAAACATAGAAAAGTATCTACATGATTTGAGGATAGGTAAAGATTCCATAAACAGGACCGAGAAACCAACAACTATAAAAGAAAAAATAATGAAATTAGAATTCATCAAAACTAAAATCTTCTGCTCATCAAAGACACTATTAATAAAAATGAATAAGCAAGCCATATCTCTGGCATAAAATATCCAAAATACATATATCTGACACAGAACTGAGATTTGCGATATTTAAAGAATTCCTACAACTAATTTAAAAAAAAAAATTCCTACAATTTAAAAATAGGCAAAAGACTGGAACTGACACATCACAAAGGAAGAGACACAAACAGCCAATGACTATGGGAAAAAGTTAATTTGTCTTCAGACAAATGTAAATTAAAGCATCTGCACATGAACCAGAATGGCTAAAGTTTCTTACAAGAATGCCACCAAATTTTGGCAAGGATGTGAAGCAACCAGAAACTTCATTTTTGGCAAGAGTGTAAAATAGCACAACTATTTTGGAAAAAATATATAGGTAATTTCTTACATAAGTAAATATAACCAAAACTATAACCCAAAATTATTCCCCTCCCAGGTACTCCTTCAGGACACAAGAGGTAAGAATATATCCACAGAAAGACTATGTTGAATACCCAAGCAATTTTATGAATAATAACTTAAAAATGGAAACAATCCAGGTATTCGACAGCAGGAAAATAAACGAAAGGTCACACAATGGAATCAAAAGGAACAGATTACTAATTAATGCAACAATATGGGTGAATCTTGAAAAGCAAATGAAAGAGACCTTACACAAAAAGTAAATACTATTCTATCTAAATAAAGACCTAGGTGAAACTAAGGTTTCACCAATAACACCTACATGACAGGTGAAACTAAGATAGGGTTTAAAAAAAATTACAAGAGTGTTTGCCTTGTGGATGGGGAATGGAGGGAAGGCTATCTGGAAAGGGGAATAAAGGAGTTTTCTGGTGTAACACTGTCCTAAAATTTAAGAGAAGTTTGCATTATACCTGTGTGTACATTAGTCAAAATTGTATGGCGTGCTTAAGACTTATGCACTGCACCTTTAAAAAGGCAAACAAATACTAAACTCTAGTTAATGATATTCATGTTAACGTGTCTAGGGGAAAATGTATTGATGTCTAACTTATGAAATATGTCGAAGAAATAAGATGATTGGATGATAGATATGTGATAAAGCAAATATAATAAAATTAACTATAGAAGTGGGTGGCAAGAGTATGCTGTTTATCCTCCTTTCAACTATTCTGTATGTTTAAAATTTTTCATGAAATCTTAGAAAAGCATTATATGATAAATAAATGTAATTGGAGCATCCAGAAGTGATAGAAATCATACCAAGTTTCACAGCAGGCCTTCTCTTGGTCTCTTTCATGGATTCACAGAAATAGCATAAGCCGTCTCCTACAGGTAATGCTTTTGGGGATGTCCCCCACCTCCTACAAAAAGCCTTCAGCAATAAATGCTGGCCCTAAAATATCTCCACCAGAAATTCATTCTTTTAAGTCAAGCTAAACCATTTTATACCTACTCTATTAAAATGCAAATCCCAGAGTTCTGTTTCTAACATGAGAGAGTGAGGAGCCACACGGACCTACTTCCCAGCAAAACTGGTAAAAGCTATTTTAAAACTAACCATTCAAAGTCTCTATAAATGGTCCTAAGGGCATACAACAAATGAATAAACATTTATTCAGGAAAATCTACTAAACTTCGGTAAGAAAAAATGAAAGTCAGTAGTTTGAGCCAGGGCAATTAGGTAAGAAAAGGAAATAAAAAGCATCAAGTGTGGAAAGGAAAAAGTAAAACTATCTATATTTGCAGATGGCATGAGCTTGAATATAGGAAATCCTGAGGTATCCACTTATAAACATAGAACTAATAAGTTCATCAAGGTTTCAGGATACAAGGTCAATATACAAAAATTAGCCATGTGTCTATGCACCAGCAATGAACAAACCAAAAATGAACATAGGAATTCAATCTACAAAAGCATGAAATAAAATAAAATAAAATAAATACATGGGAATAAGTTTAACAAATGAAGTGCAAAACTCGTACTCTGAAAACAAACAAAAAAAAAATCCCAAAACATTCTTGAAACTCTGAAATAAATGGAAAAACTTCTCACTTTCATGGATTGGAAGACTTAACATTATTAAGGCGGCAATATTTACAAACTGATCTATCAAACACCGGCTGACTCCTTTATAGAAATTCAAAAACTAATTCTAAAATTTAAAAGGAATTGCAAAGGACTCAGAATAGCCAGAACAATTTTGAAAAAGAATAAATAAATTGAAATTCATAAAAATTTTTAAAAAGTTCTTCATGAAGGACAGCATCAAGAAAGTGAAGGCAGCCATGGCGCTGTGAGGTGTTTGGAAGCCAACAAATAGCACAGGGTCTGTAGAGCTGGCACTGCCCCCCGCCCGAGGCTGAGTGGGCGGTGTGGAGAGTGGTGGGCGTTAGTCAGGGTGGTGGGAGAAGGAGGTGGCTGTGAGTCCCTATAAAAGGCGCTGAAGCAAGACTCAAACCCTAAATTCCAGGAGGGTGAGTGCTGTGCTTTCACAGGCCTCTTCTTCATGAAGCAAAGTGTGTAAAGTTTGCCATAAAGGACAAACGAGTGAAATACTTTATACATGACAGTAGTTGGAATACAAATTGGGATGGATGGTTTCCAAAGAAGAATATTCAAATACGTGGACACCAACTGCAGAAACAGCAAGAACTTCAAAAAGCCTATTAGGAGCAGTACGCAGAAGGGAAGACAAGAGGGGCTGTTCTGCAAAATGAGACATCTGGCCTGCAACAGAAAAATGTTGAAGTGAAAATAAAAAAGAACAAACAGGAAACATCTGGAAATGAAGACGGTGGTAGTACCAGCGAGACAGATGCCTCAGCCTCCTCTCAGGAAAAGAGCCTGTGTGATCTTACCATTAAAACTAGAAAACATTCATGAACACAGTTCAAATTGAAGATTCCTGAAGAACTAACACCATGGCTTGTTGATGACTGGGACTTCATTGCCAGAAACAACTTTTTTATCTTCCTGCCAAAAAGAATGTGGATCCATTCTGGAGGATTCTACAAATTATAAGAAATATCTAGGAAACACGTAATAAGAAGTATGCTGTTAATGAAATTGGGGTAGAGGAAGCAGGGATAAAGAAATACTTCCATGTAACGTTGGGCACTACAGATCTGAGACCGCAGTGTGCTGAAGTCCTTGCAGATCACCCTGATGCACCCCGGTGTATGGAGCGCCACATATACTGAGATAATTTGTACAGATGGGACTGATGTTGGCCTGTACGCCTTTGGATGAGAAGAGCCTTACTTTATTACTGACAAAGTAATTCCTAAATACCTGACAAAGAATTCTGCAACTTTGTTTAGAGCCACCGATTATGAAGTGACTCCTGAGTACCACCAGGAAGCTGTGTGAGGCACTCGCTTACATTTATGTTTGGATCTCTGTAACACATTTCTGCTTTCAGTCCTTCTCTTCTACAAATGATATACTTTGAATATGTTGGAATATAATAGTATTGATGTTTATTTTGTTTGATTTTAAATAGAGAAAATAAAAGGGGTTATAGCTCCTTTTTCTTTTCATTTTAAAGTTGCTACCAGTGTATTATTGATGGACAATAGAGAGACATACTGTAGAGTATTCAAAAGCTGCTTTTAAATACTGATGGTTCTATTCCCTTGATACCACGCATTTTTATAATATAATATGTGTTAATGCTACATGACAGAACGCTCTGATTCCTAGTACCAAAAGTTCAATTTAGCGTATATAACTAAACACACACATCTATTTGTGCTTTTTTTTTTTTTAATTGGCACTCAAAGTAAATAGCCCATCCTTTGCAAATCATCTATGTTGGTCCTTAGGCATTTTATCTTTGCTCAGATTGTTGAAGAGTGGTGGCTTGTTTTATGGGTTTTGTACTTGTATCTAACACATGTTTTAACATGACAGGCGCAATGCATTGTATAGCTACAATTTCCTGGAAAAGTCAGTCTTTTAGGAATTTTTCTTTTTAGCGCTTCAATAAATTTTTTGAGCCATTGTTTTGAATTCAATATCTGATAGTTCCCTTGTCTCTATTTCATTTAGTTCTCTCTGTGGGGATTCTTCTCTTCCACTCATTTGAGGGGAACTTCATTTTCTTCCCATTTTTGTGAGAGTCTATTTATTTATTTATTTACTTACTTATTTTTGCTTCTGCTTCAATTGATCCATCTAGATTTCCTGACTTTGTGGATTAAACTTCTATGGTAGTAGGAGGGTCTTTATTTTTTTCCTTTACTTTTCTTTCTGTGCCTGCCTCTGATGATGTATCAGTCGTTGACCCTATATGACCTTGGGTCGTTTGCTTGAGCCTTCCAGGAGTCTACTGTCTGTGTCTGACTCCTGCTTTGAGCAGCTCTGTGACCCCTTTGGCCGGGGTCCACTACTTCTGTGGATCACTCTGCACTCTCACGCGGGCTCTGTCAGCGCACCCCCCAGCCCCAGGATCCCCTGCCCGCCTGCGCACGTGCGTGTGCCCCAGCCGGGATAGGGGGGGAGACTGGGCTTATTCACCTGACCTCAAGCAATCACCTCTCGCCCGCGCCTGGTGGGCGCCCCGGCACTGGTCAGTTTAGGGTCTTATATTGTGTGTTTTCCCTGCTTTTAGCTCTTTGAGGACTTGGCCTGCCCACGCAAAATGGAGACTAGGCGAATGGGAAGAAATCAGCTCTGGGACTCTCCGGTTAATCCTGTCTCCAGTCTCTCCTCCAGGGACTCTGGGCAGCTCTGTGACCCCCTCGGCTAGGGATCCAGCCTTCTGGCTCCGGCGCCCGCTTCTGCCTCTTTTGGGCATGGCCTGCTTGCGCAAATGGGGACTACGGAATGGGAAGGGACTCTGCTCTGGGGACCTCAGATAATCCTCCAGTTCTTTCCCCAATGCCTCCGTCTCTAGTCTCTCTCCTCGAGGGTCTCTGTGCAGCTGTGTGTCCCCTTTGGCCAGGGATCCTCTATTTCTTCCAGCCAGTCTGCACTCAGCCCCTAGTCCACATGCCCACAAGCTGTGTGCGGAGCGCACAAAAGGCAGGTTAGTTGATTCCCTTATGCCTGAGCGAGATGGTAGCTGCAGAGTGGGAGGTGAGTTATCACCGGGACTCTGCTGGTTACCATCTCTGTTCTCTTCACAAAGTTTTCCTCACCAATCTTTCCTCAGGCACCAGCCCACTCTCCTGCTGCCTCTACCCAGCGAGCAAGGGGGGTGGCTGCCACTGCAAATTTTTGCATTGGCCCTCTAAATGTCTCTTTGCATCCCCAGTCATCTGTCTCTGGCAGAGAGCGCCCCTAAGCTTTTCGGGGTTGCATTTTGTCTGTGTTTTTTCCTAGTTTTAGCTGCTATAGCCTAGGGGTCCCTGTTTATGGTTCAGACCCTGTTCTTCTCAGGGGGACCCAACTGGCCGTTTCAATGTCCCGCTGGTGCTGGTGCCCGTGGGCGCCCAGCCCACCCTCTCGAGCCTCCACTGCACTTCTCACCCATTGGGATGTGTGAGAGTTGAATCCACTGTCTGTCCGCAGCTCCAAGGCTCGTCTCCCACTATCATTCCATTGTTTTCCAGGTGATTTCTCCACTATTTAGTCGCAATTCCAGTTTGGTCTTGGGAAGAGGTCAGCGTGACTCCCATTTACTCCTCTGCCACCTTAAAATCCGAAGTATTTTCTCTTTACCATGCCAGTAACATTGTTGTAATCCTGAGGCACTGTCCCAGTCCTTTTAGCTTTAGAAGGCCCCTTTCTAACAATCCTATTTACAGCATCTATATTTTAGAGTCAATTATTCTAGAAAAGCTTTATTTTTCTTTTTGTTGGATTATTTTTCAATAATATCTCTTGAATTTATAAACACAAGAGTAAAGCAATTATAAGGTATAATAAGTCCCGGCTGGGTGGCTCAGTTGGTTGGAGTTTTGGCCCGTACACCAAAAGGCTGTGGGTTCAATCCTTGTTGGGGCACATGCCTGGGTTGCCGGTTCACCCCAAGTCAGAGCATGTACAGGAGGCGGCCGATCTGTTTGTCTTTCAACGTGTGTGTGTGTGTCTCCCTCTCTCTCCCCCTCCCTCCCTCACTGTTCCTCTCTCTAAAATCAATAAATATATCCTTGGGTAAGGATTTAAAAAAAAAACACATAATAACCACAATCCTTAAATGATTAGTTATTTCCTCTTTACTGCTTAACAAGAGCTACCTAGATATTCTGATCAATTTTTAAATAATATTTTTAAAAATCCAGGCAGTTTTGATAAATTATAAGCTGTCATTCTCATTCATCTTCAATTCCTTTATTCTCTTCTTACTCTCTGGAATTGGCCATTTCTGGCATATGCCTTGTACACAAAAAGCCAGGTCAATGGATGTCCATCAAAAAGGAAAAGGAAGCTTACTGCTTAATAATGTTTGATAGCCACCACACACAATTAAGAGACATAGATATACTCCAGAAATAAAAAATAAAACAGTGCTGATACATTGTGCCACTTTCACAAACAGAAATCAAACATATAAATATATGTAATATCTGTTATTTAACTTTTTCATTTTAAAAACACTTGCTTTTGTGAGGGAAGAAAAGGGAGAGGACAAAATGGAGGGAAATAAGATAAAGTAGCAGCTCAGACGGAATATCATAGCCCCGTGCCTGAAAAATAGCAAGTGCTAAATAAACACTTGTTGAATATATACACATGAATAAACAAGCCTGATTTCACTATCATTTCATCACCTATCTCTACTTGTTTACTAGCATCACAACCATATTATAGCTTTTTATTGGCTCTTGAGGGGCAAAAAATAAAGTTTGGGAGTCCTCCATACATCTAAGGGATAGATTATGGTCCATTAAGCAATTTGGTTAGTAAATATAAGAAAGAGAAAATGAATTCACATAATAAAAATGTATGAAATCAAGAATACTGTCTGAATAAAAATAAAATCCTAGTTTTCCTGTGTTTGGGTCCATTCTGAGAAATACCATCATTTTAGATATCAAAGTTTTGTGTGTTCCATCTGAGAATGAGCAGCATGTCTATAGAATGTCTACACTATGAAATACTGAAATTATACATTTATGTATATAAAATAACCAATTAGTCAAATAGGTAAGTATAGCTTGGTAAATATATTCTGTGACATATGTAGGCAAATCACTGTAATGAAGAAAAAACTATATATGTTATAACATAAACTGGCATTTTTGAAATGCTTAAAAATACTTAAATCATTTCCTCTGCTGTCATTAAAACAATGATAACTTTCCTCTGAATGTGTATAACTACTACATTCTTAGCAGGTCCCTTTTCCATAGCTAGGAGAAAGATAGCTGGCTCAGTCCCTAAATTATCACAAATTTTGAAATATAATGAGATACAACAAATCCGATAAAAACCACGTTTGAATTTCATTACAGGGTCCAAGGGTTTGGATGTTTGCTTACCTCGAACTTGAAAATACTTCACATGGTTTGCCACCGCCTCTGTAACACTTTCCTCTGGGCAGGTTTTTACTCCATTACGCAACAGAGTAGATCGCCTTCTTCTGAGCAACCACTGTTTCTCAGCTTCTCTGGGGTCCACAGGCCGTTTCTTTTCACTAGACAGATGAGGGTCCGCAGATTCTAAGTCAGCCAGGAGAAAAGAAACTGCACTCTTGGGTTCCTGGATTTCTTCTAAAGATAGGTAGGTTTGTGCTACAGAGTGAAAGCACAAACAAGCTCTCTGATGATAAACGAAGATACAGTACAAAAGATAACAAAGAAAAACTGACATTTGTGCCACATTTGGATTTGCTGAAGTCAATCTCACATTATAGATGTAGGTGTCTAAGAAGAGGAGCGAACCATTCAATCTTTTCTGCATTTAATTCTTACTCCTTCATTTCAAGATTGTTAGTTATTGAAGTCAAGTATACACCCAATTTCAACACAAGAAATAAAAAGAAGTTTAGACCAGTAAATACTAATGAAGAGGAAAACCAAAATTATTGAAGAGATTTTAAAAGTTTACATGAAGCCATATTAAAGACTAATAGAATAGTATTTGATTCAATTTCTTACAGCAGTCTCATCAAATGATACTATTTTTAGAGAATGTAAGATACCAAAAAAAAGATAAAAACGTCAATTTTTTAAATACCTGTTAATGATGGAAGGTTTCCTTCTATGAGGACAAATATCAAAATACCCAAAGAAATCTTCCCAAAATGAGGAAACATAATCATTTAGCCAAAACAAAAGGGATGAGGAATGGCCAAAATCCTTAACTGACCACCCAAAGCCTTGAAACTTCCAGTAACAAATTGTTACAGGAAATGTCTAACACTTAAAAGTTTATGTTTAAGAATTGACAAACATTTCAAAACCATTATAAATTAGCTTAAATAAAAATGGTGTCCTTTCAAAGCACCTCTCACTTCTGAAATAACCAGCGCGCTAGGAAAGCAGGAGAGATAAGCTAATTAGAACAGATGGGGAGAGACAATTTCTTTAATCTAGGCAGCTAAGCTCTTTTACTAACACTCCCCTTGCCTTTAACAAGCAGTGCATTTAAAAATGTTTCAAATGTATTTCACTAAGCTTTATGATTTTTATGAATCTATTAGTTGAACCTTATAGATTCACGTATTTCCTGGGTTCTTCTAGGACCTATGATTTACAAGCACAAAATGGCCAGATTGACTATACCTGAGAAGTACAGAGGTACGCACAAAATAAAATTAGGTTTCTTGAAGCTGTTTCTCTTTACAATAAAGCTACTGTCCTTACATTTCACTCCTTAATAAAAAAAAAATGTGAAGATCTTGCACTATAACCACTTACTATACCTCCTTCCTTATCGATAAAATGAGATAGTAGTAGTAAAGCTACCTTGTGATAGAGCTATTGTGAGGGCTGAATTAGGTAATTTACAGAAAATGCTCAGAATAGTGCCTGGTGCATACTATGCACACAATATAAATGATGGCTGTGTGATAACTTTGTTGCTTAATTTGTTATTAAACATTAGGCCCAGTGTGTTATCCTTTAACCAATAGGACCAAATAAAATTCTTAGTACTAGGACACTTGTTTTTTATCAAATAAACCTAGTAGAAAGCGATTAAGTTAGTTTAAAATACTTGTGGAAGCTAGAATTTACTATCAAATAACAATGAATTTATTGTATGTCATGTACCTCTGGAGAAGCTCTCATTTAAAAAAAAAAATTTTTTTTTGTAAAGATCTAAACCACATTTCTCTGGAGAATCCTAAACTGTGTTAACTAAAACATCCTGTTTTATGATTGATGAAAAGCTCATGAAGCGTACTTTTTCAATACAAACTCACACAAACTACATTTTCAACCCTTATATATGCTAACAAATCTAAATGACAAGTACATGTGTATAGAAGCATTTGCAATGTATTGGTAAGAATTTTGTTTGCCAAACTTTATTGTTGAATGGGAGGAAAAAGCTGAAAACCTACTAGCTAAGTGACATTTTAAAGTTCAGAGAAAAGCTTCATGTTGACAATTCAGACCAAGGGAGCACTTTAAGGTAACAAATATTAGTTGGAAATTCTTTTTGATGGCCTACTCCAACAAGCCAGGAAATCTTCTGAGACACAGAGTATTCTGGAAATATTTCTGTACTTCGAAAAACCCTAGGCAACCCTGGGCTCAAGTCCTGTTTTTACCACTTAACATTTGATTTTGTTAAACCTAAACTCTTTGAACCAGTTTACCCACCAAAGAAATTAGGTATGATAATCTGCCTGTATCACATGGTTGCTGGAAAAAATTAGGAAATGTGAAAGTTCTTTGTAAATTAATGTATACTACTCTTTGTCTTTTATTACAAGTGTTCATAAGGTCGAAAGAGGTTTCAAACAGAAAAAAATTACCTCTAATTTATTGCAAGTACTTATGTAAGAACTCTTAAAATGGTTATTATAGTCTATAAAATATAGTTTGTAAGATTTCAGAAAACTGTACTGAAGAAAAACAATAGTATGAAAACTTCAGCTGGGTTCATTTGCTTCTAAATAGGTTTAGCACTTTACAAACTCATTTTTACTTCACATGTCATGTAATTCTTGACTACAGCATTCTTAGAATAACTCCATCTGTGATGCAAGGCAGCAAGTAGGTGATGACTACCATAAGGTTGTGCCATGGGAACCCAGAAGCAAGATTAATTCCAACTGGAAAACTGAAAGGGGTTTATTAGAGAATGTAACATTTCAGCTAGGTCTTGAATGGCCTGGTGTGGCCAGAGGAAGGGAGGGGTAGTAGGAAGGAATGAGAGTTAGGAAAGAAACCCCTGGTCACAATCAGTAAGGTAGAAAAATGTACTGTTCGTATAGAAAATAGAAAGACACTTGCTAGAGCAGGAACGGGAGCATACGGCAAATAGGTTGGGAATGAAGGCTGAAAAAGTTAAGAGGTAGATTGTGAAATACCTTGAAAATCTCACCAAGGTTTGGGATTTTCCTATAGATGAAAAGATTATCTAATGTTTAATTGCTCAAAAAAAATATTCCTTGAGTTTTTATTGAGATTCTTTTTAAGAAATATTTCAAAATCTCATCTGATGGTCCATATGCTTTAAGAAATGTCCCAAAATGTACAAGCTGGTTTAAAAAAAAAAAACCTAAACATAAAACTACTTAGAAATCACAAGTACCAGGTTTTTTCATCCATTTTCTAATTCCAAATGAGTTGAGAATCATTTATTGACTCAGCAAAATGTTCTGTTTATTCTGTGCCATTAACATACTAAAATATAGCATATATAAAGTGTTTGTCTTTTAGGAGCTTGTAGTTTAAAGGGAAAAACGTATACAGATAATGAAATAAAGTTGATAAGAGAATATTAAAAAATAATTACGGGGAAAAAAACAGGAGAGGTAATGAATTATTCTGTTTGAGCAAGTGCAGGGGTGATGACATTTGAGCCAGATTAAAAAAAAAAATAAAGTTGACAAGAAGTAGTAAAAGGGTGTTCTAGGAAGAAGGAATAGCGTGGCCAAGGCCTGAGTTGTGGAGGTATAATGCTGCAATGCCTATTCCAAACCACCATCTCTATCTTGGGTTCAAAGTGACATTCGCACTCACAGGACAATAGTCCATAACCCAGTTCCTTTTATTTGTATTAGAATACTCCCAGAAAACAGTGTATCAAATAAAGCACAGCCTCAGCTGGAGATCTCATAGGAGCCCTGACCCTGATTTCTCCAGCCCCCAAAAGGGATGTACTGAGCCACAGGAGATGACTTCATGCAGCCCACACCAGCATAAGGAAGCCCCATCCTCACAGAATCGTGGCTTTTAATAGCCCAGAGGCAAAGTTTCCAAATTTTCACCAGGACAGGCCCAGTTACAAGAGACTCTGCAGAGGGAAGCAGAGGCCTACATTTTCCAGCAGGGTTTTTTCCACAGTCTGGTCAAGCAGGCCTTCCGAGTACGCACGTGCACTCACACTTCTCCAGTCCAGACACAGGCAACAACTGAAGGTCTTTCTCACCATGTTTAAACACACACTTCATGTTTATTTGAGCTCAGTACACTTCCAAAGAGACAATATTGAAAGAAAGAAAACCCAAGCTAATTTCCTATGACTAAAAGGCTTAAAGCTTGCTGTTAAGCCAAAGTAATGAAAGTATAAATTAGTAATTGTACATGAATAAAAAGTAGGTGATAGTGGAAAGATGAGGATAGAATATAGATTATAAACAGATTAGAAAGGGCTCTGTATGACAGGTCTACACCTATTTTCCCCAACAAAAAAAAAATGGCTGATTTAATACATTCATTTTAGTAAACTTTTTCTAAGTTTATTCCCAAAAGTTGTGAATTAAAAATAGTATTAACTTTTTTGGAAAGGCTTTCCCTGTCCACCAACAGCCCTCTTACTACCCCTCCACCTCCCTCTCACACAGGGGCCCGCACGCGCGCACACACAACACCCCCAGCCCGCCAGGCTGAGCTCCCTCTGGTGCGCCCAAAGAAACTGATTGTTTTTACCAGAAAATATTAAGACTGTTCATACGTCCACTTCTCCCACTAAACTTTAAATGATTCAGAAATAAGATGTCGTTCATTTTATTGTACCTAGAAAATTGCCAAATGTTCCCTGAACTATCAAATTAATTATATGCTTGTTAAAACAGAAAGAAAAATTAATGTAAGCATCAGTTATAGGATATGCACTGGCTATGGCACAATTCAAAATTTATTTCTAACACTGGCTCACATTTCTTTAAAAAATTACACCTCAACTTAATGAATTGGAAATATGTTTAATATAAAAGGTTGATATTCTCAAAGCATTTCCACATGAAATTAGGAAAATGAATTTTAGACAATCTTCAAAACATAATAAAGGACAGTGGTATCTTCAAAAAACATAAAAACAAAAAGGAAATCACAAGAACATGTACTATATACTTGCTTTCCCAAAATAAGGTGTATGAAATAATTAATAGTAACCTAAAAAAGTCCCCTTCCACACTCACACAAATTGGGAATGAAACATGTAATTATAAGCATCTTTGTAAGAAACCTCCAAAAGACAAGTATCTTTAACAATATAAAGATGGTGACAAGATTAACAAAAGCTTAAGAACACTGAGGTTTAACTGACAGTATCAATTCACATGATTTTGAAATAAAATGTTCCTACTTTAGCAATACCTTAAATTGCCTTTGCTTCACTGCTTTATATACAGTTACAGTGTAAATCCAAGAGATGCTTAAAACAGAGGTTTAAAATATTCTTAAAAAAATTTTCTTATCTGAGAAAATACATTATAATTGTCCCCTCAAAATATTCCTGATAACATTAGAAGGTTGTGAAGTATGTATATAATACCATAATCATCACATGAATTCAGAACTGTTACCTGAACATTTAATAAAAAATTAAGCTCCATGGGGATTATAGGTCTCTGAAAACTACAGCTTAAAAATAGAAAAGCAATGAGAGCAATCTGGCTTTGCAGATGAATACTGGGTAACAGAGCTATAAAATTATATATTTAGTTCTAACAATAAATAAGACTTTGAGAGTATTTTTAATTAAAATTATAAGGATACCAATTTTATCATCTATACTTTACATAAACTGTGTTGTGTACATATAATCTGGGATATTGTAGCGGTCAGCACATAGTTATACTTCAAATAAACTTAGTTGAGCTACATATATAATTTTTAAAACCTAATTTGTATAGCTAAATTT